ATCTTAACAGCATGCAAATAAGATCTGTTTCATTTAAATACTAAGCATGGTAAATATTTGATGACTCCGTGGCGTTGTTGCCAAGGTATTGGCTTCGACGTCGAGGCTCGTGGGTTCGATTCCCACACGGGACATCTATTTGTGTGGCCCATAGATAGTTGCTTCACATCTGGGTGTTTGTCTGCGTGAAATTTATGTTTGTAAAATGTCCTTATAACACAGGATAATGTTATCCTAAAGTAAGGGAAATGTTTAAAAAAAAAAGATAATAAAAAGATACTAATTTTAAAAGCATGGAAAAACTCTGTTTCATTTATATACGAATCATGGTATTAACGATGTCTTTAAATTTTGTTTAGCCTTGCACGGCCGTAGCTAGGGGGGGGGCATTGTAGGGCAATGCCCTACCTTAAAATCACAATGCCCTACCTTAAAATACCAAAATAAAAATGCGTAAATATCACCACGTTTTTTCAATTTCGTACACGTCTCAAGTGATTTCCCATCCTACTTCGCCGGAATTTGTATATTCTTTCTATGTTGTACCTACTGTGTTCTATTTCATGTTTCTACTCCACTTTATTTAAAGGAGAAATTTGAATTTGTAGGGCTTCTAGGGGAAGATCCTATCTTCTTCGAGGAAGCTCATTTTAAAGGTGCTAAACCACAAAACGTAATTTTTTGAAAAATCTTTTACCGTACAAGCTGTTAAACTCTACTACTGCATTATATACTATACTATTGCACAACCTACGTAGTAAAGTTACTTTACGCCATTGGTTGCCTGGAAGAGATCGCTATGAAGTGATACGGCCGCCAAATTGTGAATTCCATTAATTTGTTTGTCTATTGTTAATTTTGTGTATCCTCTTTTGTGTGGTTGACAATAAAGTATTTATTCATTCAAAAACTAAAATACATTATTGTAATAAAAATTGGAGCGATAGGTATCTCAACTTTTCCGAACATACCACAGCATAGATAAGACATATATACTGAAACCAAAAAATTATAATAATTAAAAAATCATAATAATTTATATGGACTTAGGAAACATACATTTAATCTATCGATAGTATTTTTTTAATCTACCACCGTGTCATCATGAGGTTCCTCTAACGGAAAAGAAACAGGCGAAAGAAACTCCGCAGGTATCCTCTTATTTGTAATTTTTTTCTTAAAAAATTAAAATATTATACAACTGTTTTTTTTTTACTTTCTTTTAGAAATAGCTTGGGTGCGATCAACTCATTACCAGTGTGTGACATTCATTTCATATTCTAATAATTCTTTGTTCTGTGTACTCGTATAAAAAAAGAACCTGGAGGACCGAGCTTTGCTCGGTTTTTTTGGTAAATAATGTATTTTGGAAATAAAAAAAAATAAAGAAAGCAATGATCAGGTATAGAAAAAAAAGTAAAAAAAATAAGTGTGTGATCGTGATACGAACCGCGGCCGTCTGTTTTGGGGCGCCCGAAGGACATTTTCTAAATATGAAACTTCTAGATCGATGCTTCGCCCTCGAATCTACGCACATACTAAATTTCATGAAAATCGCTGGAGCCGTTTCCGAGATTCCGATTATATATATATATATATACAAGAATTGCTCGTTTATAGGGTAAAATAATAATAAAATAGGCATTTGAATGATGATGATCTAATCCATTCGATTGCAAGTCTCGATGAGTTGGATGTAGATAAAATGCTTTCACTGAAAAGTTTGGGTAAGTTTAAAAAATTTAATAATTCAAGTAGGCTAGTGTGGTTAAAGTTTACTTGAGTCGTAACGAGGACAAATCCGGCCGGCTACACAATTTAACTAACGCTAAAAATAAAATTCCCTTAAGGCACAAATTATTATTATATAAGACCTGCGTACGATCTATTATGTCCTACGCATGCATGACCTTCCCCACACTTGTACAAGTTGCAAATAGTACAAAATAAGTTCATCCAACGAGCAACCGGTGCGCAGTGGTATCAACGCAACGTCGACCTGCACAGCGATTGCAGACTCCCGACGATTCGCGAATATTTTAAAGACCTGACCAAACGGTTCTTCGATAGAGCCGAACATCATCCCAACCCTCTGGTGGTAAGCGCAGCAAATTACCAACCCGACACAAACGCGAACGTCAACAAGCGTCGCCCGCGAAACGTCCTCATCGACCCGAGCGACGAAGAGGACTTAGAAACGATGGACCCACCGCTGGGGGTCCCGCCAGATAACACTACTCCTACAGCTAGTGCAACAATAAACACTCTAGTTCGCCCTCGCCTCCGAGCACGGCGAGACCAACACAACGCGTACACAAGGTACACCCGCGTTCCGGGGCGGTTCTCACCGCTCCCAGCCACCGATTAGCTAAATGCACAGTCGACGGCCATCGGGGTTTCTGTCCGAACCGCGACCTCGATGGCCCTTAGATAACACACCATACTTAAACGCACGCATGAGCACATGCGTGGCTCTACCCACAGCGGAGGGCCCAAACCCGTGGTTTCTGGCTAGCCCACCGGTTCTGCGTCAGATGAAGCTTTAATAGTCTCGGGGCTGAAAGTAAAAACATCAGTTAATACAAGATACAAGAAGGAGCTCATGCTTCGAGGGCAAATCAATTATGATAAATTTAATTTAATTGTTTACTTCCGCCCTACCTGTAATCAATGCTGCCCTACCTCAAATTCAACTCTAGCTACCGCCCTGTACCCTTGACCTGGAGTGCATTAATACTTAAGTAAGGGATGCGTAATAGTAAGGGATGCCAACTTAGGAATTTTCTTCCTAAATTAAGGAAGAAAAATTTTTAGAAGACAAATTTTATTCGCATTTTTGAAGAAAAAAAACTACACAAAACGAATAAGAAAAATATAATTTAATAATTCCGTGCTGCATTGGTGGACGTCAGGCCAAGGCTTATGTCTTGTGTGTATATTTTAAATTCTTCCGCCCTAAACTATAATATTGAATGTTATTAATTAATAAAAATATTGTCACTCACTTTTTTTTTATGTATTTAAGGTGGATACGCGAACGTAAAATATCTAGATATTAAAATACATAGTTTCGAAATCTGATATTTGAAATCGAAATCTGATTCAGATACGGTTCTCAGAAAAAGCGATACGACCCATCTCTAATAGACTGATAGTGATAGGGATGCCGAAAAAATATCGATATACTGATCTTTGAAAAATATATCGATATTTTTGGCCTACATATTTTGATCCGATATATCGATATAAAAAATTGAATATCGAAATCGTATCAAAAACGATATTTTTATTTAAACCGATTCAAAGCCGTAAAATATAAAAATGTACGGGAAAAAAACTGTGGTCTATTACTAGTATTGTCGCGGATGCAGAGTGGCATTTTGTACTATAGTTTTGGTATTTATTACTACAATTTACTACATTTGATGCAGCGTCCTTTATACTATCTATATCTTAGGTACTACATGGTATAGAGGTGTTACAAATCATTAATATTGAACTATATATTAATTTATTTATAAATAGCATGCAAAATATTAATGGCATCAACTAAAGTTACTTTAATTTAATATGTAAATAAAGTTTACAAAAATTTAATTATAATCAAATTCTCAGTAGTTAAATGACGCATAATTTAATATCGAGTTTTCATAAAAAAAAAATATTTGACGGCATAGAAATTATTATCATTTAACCACATAAGTAACTTTTTTAAATTGTCGTTCAGCATTTTCATATCAATCAAACAACTATTACTAAATTCTGTTGATCGAGGCCTGTCTTTTCGGATAAGTATCTGCGGGTTTCTTTTAGACTCATTATTAACTTCGTTTTAAACAATTATATTTTTTTTACAAAGTTGCATGTTTTTCAATTAGTTATTTTTTGATTGGATTCAGGGCTAACGAAACTGATTTATCTTACTATATAAGCTGCTTGTTTTTTTTCCAATGAAAGTCTTGAAAAATAACATACCTAGAAATTTAGATCAATAAAAGAAATTCGATTTAAATTAAAAAATAATTAACGTTTTATTAAAATTTCTCATTTATTTCAATAATGTAAATTTAATATAAAAATTACTATTACTTTTTATTGAATCAGACTAAACTAAATACAGCATTATTTTTAAAACTGAACATTTGAGCGATATATCGATATTTTTTTCGACTTTCGGCATCCCTAGATAGTGAGTTGGGTGACAGGTGACATTTGGTCCTCAATGCTGGGCTATTTACGTTAGGGATGGGCAAGTAAAAAAAATCGATATTTATTCTATCGACATTTTAAAAATTATCGATAATTATCGAGCCAAAAATATCGATATATCGTCGTTTTTCATATTTTCAAACCATTCAAATTGCGTAAAATAGAATAGACATGAAGAAAATGGTTGAAAGGAGTTTTTAAATTTAACCATGCGCATTGGTAACATTAAACATGAATCCAGAGTTACTTTAAAAATATATCGAAATTGACACGAGTTCGACAGTCTAAAATAAATATCGAATAGCGATATATCGCGATAAAAAATATCGGTAATTGTATGGAAATTGTCGATATTTTTTGTACATTACTAATTTACGTCAGTTTGATTAAAATCGATTTACGGGAGGGGTTGTGTACCTAAAATACACAGGTATATTGTACTATGGGGAATTAAAAAAATAATTGATTATAATACGAATTACTTAGATGGTCTAAAATATTTTAATTAGTAATTTAACTTATTAGTTTGTATTGACATATGGAGAAATAAATATAATGATTGCAAAAAAAAAGCTTTTAAACGTTAATATTTAAAATAATTAGACACTCGGCTACAATTTTTTTTAAAAATGAGTGAAAAATTACAGTTTGTTGATATTCTTGAACCACGAAATACACAGTTTGGTATTTTTAACTTCATGACTCGGTCATGGAAACCAAAAAAGACTTTAATTGCGGATAGACATTGCACACCACAAGACTTGAAAACACTTGTAGCTGTTTCAACATACATGGATTCGTTTATCGAAGCTGTAAGTAATGAATAAAATAATGAGTTAATAAACATTTTTATTTTGTTATTAATTAGGAACATCATTTTAAGTATTTATATTTATTGTTATGACCAATTTGGAAATCTGAGGAAACTGCTAGATTTTCTCTTAATAATTATTTTTATAGTTACTTCTCCATCGTTAAGAAATATTAATAAGTGAACAAAGTGTGTTAGAACAATTAATGTAATAAAAAAAATGTTATTTATTTATTTCTATTTTCTTTAAGCATCTATATAAATAAAAATGAATGTTTGTAAGCGCATACTCAAGAATGGTTGGACCAATTTTGTATGTTCAGTTTCTTGTTCATACAGAAATTCGACAAAGAATAATTGAATGTTAATGTGAATCCAATACTTATGTTAGTTAAAACACAAATAAAAATGCTCAAGAAAAAGATTGCTCAGACATGGCAGTAGTATCCATCAGCATTGACAATTATAATGTAACAATGTATGTTTAAAATAAAAAAAAAGTACTGTCAAATTGAGAACCTCCTCCTTTTATGAAGCTTAGGTTAATAAGGTTAAAACTCCTATACATGGTACTAAAATTTGTTGAAAGTTCTACTTGCAAAAATTTTTGTAATAGGTTTTTTTTAATGGGTTATAATTTCGTAGGAAAGTTCAAGATGTGGAGTGCCGAAAGAACTATTGTTAAAGGAGGTGAAGAAGTATCTGGAAGAAATGGGCTTAGATAAAAAGATGCATGTGATAAGGTGGATGGGAATTGTATTTTTAAAGATTTCATTTATGATGAAAATAGGAATATATGTGAATGAACCAGCCATACTGAAGGTATATATATCTACTTTATTATTTAACAATTAAGAAAATATTTATTCTTTTTATAAGATATTTAACACAGCATTAGCAAGTGCCAGCCTTACCTAACACCTACAGCACATTTATCATCAGGTGCAATATTTTAGTAGTTATGACTTTATGACGGGACTTGCAGTGGCCCCTTATCCAAGTGCAATGAGATACTTACTGAGTTGCGGAACAGTCTTATATGAGACATAAAAAAATATTCTAAAGTATCTATAAATGATGTAAATTCCGCAGGGTCCCCCATGATATTGGATGTCCCACAAGGAATAATCTTGGGCCCATTATTATTCTTAGTGTATATAAATGATCTCCCCTTTTATGCCAGTGAGTTATGTGATGTTGTATTGTTTGCTGACGACACATCGCTCATTTTTAATGTTGACTGAAATGTATAAAATTATGACGACGTGAATAGTACACTTTCGCATATCCTCCACTGGTTTACCATTAATAATATGGTGTTAAATGCCTTCTTTTTACCCTTCCCAGTGTAAGAAGGCAAAGTTTTAGCTTAAAATTAAATAGCGTAACCCTTGATCCTGTTGAGTCTGCTATATTCTTGGGAATTACAGTAGATTCAAAGCTCCAATGGAGTCCTCATCTATTATCTCTTGCAAAAAGGTTAAGCTCTGCTGTTCTTGCAATTAGGAAGGTTAGGTAGCTGCCAGACATCGACACTGCCAGACTTGTTTACTTCAGTTATTTTCACAGCATCTTGTCCTACGGCATTTTATTGTGGGGTAGTGCATCTCATATTAATTCTATATTTATTCTTCAAAAAAGAGCTGTCCGAGCAATCTCTAACATCGAAGCCCAGAATACACTCGGAGATCTTTTTAAAGAGATTAATATACTCACTGTTGCGTCTCAATATATTTATTGTAATATTTTGTATGTTAAACATAATATTAATAATTATCTAAAGAATAGTGACAGACATAAACTAAATACTAGAAGTAAGGACAAACTAACTACGCCATTGTTTCGTCTACAAAAAGTAAACAGGTCGTTCATGGGGCAAAGTGTGGGCATGTATAATAAAATCACACAGTTGATATTAAGTCTGCCACTTGATGAATTTAACGAAAAATTAAAAGTAAACTTATGGCTAAAGCCTATTATACTATTGCCGAATATCTTGACGATGCCAATGTGTGGGGTTAATACTGTTGATACTCATGTAGGCTAAAAGAAGACTATTATACCTGTACCATTACATTGTAAACTGACCTTTTAAAAAAGAGCAACTGTTGAGTTTCTTGCCGGTTTCTTCTCAACAGAAAATGCCTTCCGAACCAGTGGTAACTTAAGAACGTATATATTTTATTAACGTATTCATTTAATTAATACATTAATAAAATTCATTTAATTAGTTGATATACAAAAGGAGAATAATAAGTATTGTTGAGGAGCCTCAGTGAAATTTCCCAATCCGGTATTTGGCTTATATCTTATAATGTAAGCATCAGCTAAATAATTACATAAATACTATATTAAACTATTTGTATTGTATTTTTGTTTTGAAGGGGTTGCATAGTATGTTCCAATGACACCTGAAACATTTATTCCCTTATAAGTTTTCCCTCTGAACCATTGCCCAATTAATGTTGGATAATATTATCCTATATTCTATATTTAAATTTCACAGGGAAAACTACCCAGATCAGAAAAAACAATTATCTTGTATCTCTCTACCCAGATTCAAAACTTATGGGTAAAAAAAATTGTTGTCTTGTGTGAGAGTTGAACCCATAACCCCGGGTGCCGAAGCCAATAGCTTGGCAATTGCACCACGTACGTTATTAACCATCATAAGTAACAATTATCTATATATTAAAATGTGAAGCAAAAACTTTGTACCTCTTTTTAAGAAAGTTGGGTAGACGGAGGAGTTTGAAATTTCCCACACATAGTTTATATAAAGAAGGAGTGTAGAATGATAATATTTCTTTAATACATCAGGTTCTTAATCAAATAAACATTTTTTATATGTTGCTGGTAGAAACTGGACTAAGAGTGCAAGTTCGAATCATTTGACGTTTATTAGGAGAGAATTGAAGTTCCAGGAAGTTGTCAAATTATTTGCTTGCTGATGCAAATGTCCTTCAATTGATTCTTTATTTTTTTTTCAAACGTATGTTTGTTTGTATAGCTAAAGGAAAAAATGGGTCAAAATCCGGTTCTGTTCCTTCCCACGCATCGAAGCTATGCGGACTTCTGTGTACTGACGTATCTGTGCTACCACTACGACATTGAACTGCCAGCCGTTGCAGCGGGAATGGGTATGTGTGTTATATTAAATGAGTTGAAGTAAATACATAGTTTTAAATATAACCTTTTAAATATTAGTAAGGTTGACATACATCGATGTAACTATTCATGAGTACTGCAGCCGACAAACTGCATCACAGCTTGGCAGAGATATATAATAATTTATGTTATTTTACTTCATTACTGGATTAAATACAAAATTAATAATTAAAAACAAAATTAATTAAATATTGTTATTTTGAGGATTACCTTTAACTTTTATACTGATTGTTTTAATATATGTTTACATATTAGTTTGATAGGAGGCCTACTATATACTAATGATAAAGGCAAAAACCTTCCAGTAACCATGGTAACATAAAGTATTTTCGCTAAGCATCAAACTTCTGAGCTTTTGTTTGAAACACTAAACATTACTACATAAAATTGGGATTAAAACACATCAATAATATTGCGTTTAACTGTCTTTGACTCCTGCGATTTCGAACCCGTTTACTAGGATACCAACAAACTATTTATTTTGTCCAATCGCGCAGAATGATCTTAGAGTATCCTACAGTATTGGTTTGCTTAGATTTAACTTCTATTGATACTAGGTAGTTTCTTTATTTCAATGTCACGGTTATTGAATTATTAAGCGAACAAGCGGTTCACGTGAATCTGAAGTGATTACCGTTGCCCATGGACATTCGTGGCAGCCTCGAACTGGCCATCGCAGTGTGGGACCCCACTAGATGGAGTGACGACCCCCCATTAGATGGAGTGGCGACCCCCACTAGATGGAGTGACGACCCCCCACTAGATGGAGTGACGACCCCCCACTAGATGGAGTGACGACCCCCCACTAGTTGTAGTGAGGAACCCCCACTAGATGACGACCCCCTCCCCCCCACCACTAGATGGAGTGATGCTAGTGGCTCAGGATCGTGCTTCGTGGCAGTCTGTGGGGGAGGCCTATGTTCTGTAGTGGACTCAAACGGGCTGAAATGATGATGGACATTCACAACACCAGGGTTTGCGTTGACAAACTTTGAAAAAAGTGGGTCCGGGTTACTTTATTAACCAAACGAAACGGGAACGTCTAGTAAGTACTTCCACTTCCCGCTGCTTTTCTGCGAGTACCTAACTGGACGAGGCCAGCCCATTCATGCAACAAATAGGTTACAGAGAGATCCAGAGGCTGTTGCGTGGACCTACCACAGTATCAAATCTCATCTAAAGGGTGGGGCGGTGTAGTGTATAAAAATATTTCAATGAACCTTAATGAAATCTGAAATTGTATTGATTGTCGTAACCTTTCACGCACTGCAACCACAAGACAAATTATTATTAAAAAATTACGCACGTAGGGCCACGCAACAGTCTTCACTGTTGCACGAACGGGCAGGTCCGTCCGGAGAAGTGCAACAACCTCACAGAAGACGGGCGTGAAGTGGAAATGTTATAGAAGTGTACGTTTTGTCTAGTAAGTCAGTTAATCGGAGCTCACTTTATTAAAAGCTAGCAACGCATCTGCAACCCTACGGGTGTTATAAATGCCCATAGGCGGCGGTTATCAATTTACATCATGTCACCCACGAGCTCGCTTGTTAGAAGGTGTAACATAATCTGTTACCGTTGAGACTGAGACGATAAAAAAGTCTTCCAAATCAAACGACACATAGATCCTGCCATTTTTATGGTTCCGTACACAAAGGGACGGGTTCCTATTACTAAGACTCCGTTGTCTGTCTGTCTGTCCGTCCGTCTGTTCCCAGGCTGTATCTCATGAACCGTAATAGTTAAACAGTTTAAATTTTCACAAAATATGATGTATTTCTGTTGCCGTTATAACAACAAATACTAAGAAACTGAATAAAAAAATATTTAATTGGGCTCCCATGCAGTAGACAAGATTTTTTTTACCGTTTACAGTATAGATAATGGTACGGAACTTCGTGTGCGTGTCTGACTCGCACACTTGGCCGGTTTTTATATTTTTGTAGATTAATAATAATATTTTCGGCACCATTTGTTAATTCAAGGCGATTCTTTTTTTCCTCTCCCTTTAAATTTGGAGACAACGAAGTTAACTTGGCGCCTCGGGTCGTGTGTTTGATTCTCACCCGTGACATAATATATTCGTTCGGCCTACAGATAATTGTTACGGATCTGGTTGCTTGTGTCATTTTTGACCCCATATTTGTAAAATAGTAAATTTAATGTTAAATATATATAATATGAAATGAATTAATGAGAATGGCTTAGATTCACAAAGTTATTCAAGTCAGTTTGAAATTTTCGAATTTAAGACGTGTTGTACATGACATCGTCTGTCCGGTCTACTAGTATACTTATAAACATTAAATAAATTTAGTGATAAATTTAGTTTCAGTTCGGATTAACCAAAATGCCATAAGTTTACGTAAACTAAATTATCAATTTGACTGATACGTTATCAGTCACTAACACTATTATTTCTGGGTCGTCTAATATACACAAGAATTATTTGAAGGCGTGAAGGTTTTGCCCAATTTCGGAGAAGCGACTGCTTTGGCTTCTACAGTTCTTCAATGCGTTACTACATTGACTTGAATTTAAAAACGCTCTCAGGTTGGCGTATCGTGGCACTTAATTCGGTAATTGAAATCGCCATATAAGTAAAATTTGTGCGAACAAAACGGAGAAATGGCCGGGAAAAGTAAAAGAGTAATATGTATTTCCAATTACATAAACTTGGCAATGCGACAGAAAAAAAAAATAACGAAATAGTGGATCTGAATTTCTTTTGTGATCCGCCTCCTCGCAACTTACCTCAAAAGTAGGAGTGAAGTACGTACTACGTAAAATAGTTTTACGTAATTTTTACACGTATTACGCTTTACTTGCGCACAGAATTTTTAACTCAAACAGTAATGTAATCAATTCATCAGGTACTTGATTTTAAAGTTTGAAAACGATGTAGTTTTCATAAATTTACCACGTGCAATTAAATTACATCAGTGCATCATCGAATATTTTTACCAGGAATACCAGGATCATTATTAAATCATTGTACAGTCCATCATAAAAAACGCGGTTTGGTTACGCGACACATTCGGAATATTAGCATAGCAGAAAGCGCTGACTGTACTATGACTTGCAGTGTACTGCTTTGTACTGGGCACCGATTTGTAGATGCCGGATTTAGATTTATTAATTCGAAGCTATCAAGTTTATTTCAATAGTATAATGATATTAAATATATGAATAGTTCATTAAACCTTTCTGGCGACACGATAATTAAAAAAAAATTGTGCATTTTTGATATGTAAAGATAAGGGTTAATCAGATTGTACCTCGTGATGAATTGGATGATAATTTATATCCAACGAATAATTTATATTATAACGAATTTATCGCGACCGTGCAAAAATTCAAACAACACACCTTGCTACACTTTAAAAAAACTTTCTCCCAAGTCCTAATCCTTCTTTTATCTCTCTCCCATCATCATAACTAAGCTCCACTAACGCCTTTCGCATCTCTGCAACAGTTCTAGCAAGGACTTCTTCAAGGACACCATATGTGCAAATTGAAATTAACCGACACTTACGCCTCGTTTCTGAAACACTGATCATTGAAGATGTCAACTAATCAGCTGTCAAATAATCAGCTGTCAAATGGCTTTTCAAATGTCATTTGAGTTGCCAAAAGGATGGTTAAACTCTTTGAATTGATCATTCTGATCATTTAGAAGATCATTCTGGTCATCAAGGATGATCAGTGTTTCAGAAACCGGGTGTCAATTTCTGACTCGACGTTCGCTTATTTGCTTTCTTGACGTGGGATCTTGTATTCAGTTAACCTGCATAGTAGATTATGATATTCGTGACATACATCAGTCTCTAAATAATGTGTATTCGTTTCTCTTGTTATCTATAATTTTATTTGTGCACCTACCTCAAGTTCCCTGGGTCACCCGTTAAGTTGATTGACAGACGACGCGTCTTTTCGTGAATAAAGTTCTGAACAAACAAATAAATGGGGAACAGAGCTGATGTGGTCGCTCCACGCAGATTTCTATTCGATGGCGGTGGTCGGGCAACGCATGCGGGAGACGGGCGCCTTCTACATTCGCCGCAGCATCGTCGGGGCGCCATTGTACGCCGCGACCCTCAGGCAATACGTGAGGACCCTGGTCGCCAAGTACAGCGCCCCCGTCGAGTTCTTTGTAGAGGGCACCAGGAGCAGGAGCAACAAGAGCCTCCCGCCCAAATACGGTGAGTTTTGTTACTGCTTTGACGGTTTTCAAATTAATTTAAAAATTTTCACACATAAGATTAAACTTTAAAAAAATTGCCGCTGTGGGGATCGAACCCACGTGTTCGGGACTCGCGCCCTTACGCCTTAGCCACTATGCTAAACGGCTGAAAACAGCTCGTCACTTTCCCGGCGTTAAGTTTTGTGTATAATTTTATAGTACCCGGAGGACCGAGCTTTGCTCGGTTTGTTTTTTTTTTTAAATTAAAAATAAAGAAAGCAATGATCTGGAATCGAAAAAAACGTAAAAAAATAAATGATCGTGACGCGAACCACGGTCGTCTGTTTTGGGGCCGCCCGATTACCGACCGAGCTATTATGACATTTTCTCTTGCGGCGAAATTTACCGTCATATTCGAATTATATTTTTCATTCCCTGAAAACAGGGATAAAAGGGTTTCATTTTTTGAAAATGTCAAAAAATGAAACCTAGCTAGATCGATTTTTCGCGAATCTACGCACATACTAAATTTCATGAAAATCGCTGGAGCCGTTTCCGAGATTCCGATTAAATATATATATATATATATACAAGAATTGCTCGTTTAAATGATAAGATATTCGTAAATGACGCCTATATCATTCTTTTGCTTTTTTGCTTATGCGCGATACATTACTTAAAGTGCTCACATGTTAACAAACGTCCTGCGTCGAACATTTGCCCTTGACACGCGCATTCTATTGAAAAAGTAAACATTTAGAGGTTCTGTTTGCGATACTTCATTTGCTTAAACAACGTTTATGTACATCGATACGACTTTGTTACTTGACACCGTGCTCTTAACACTCCATTCGCGTGGGTTGACGCGACATTATTTTCGAGGCAAAGGCAAGATAAAAAAATAAATGTCGAATCGAACATATCAAGTATACAGAATATGGTAATATGACGGTGTGGCGTCATGTTAGGATTATTAGTTTTCAATATCGTTGTAGTGCGAAAATCATTTACATTCCTGAGAAGATAAACGTAATTGTATTCGGGCTTTTTGAAAGTTATGAGCAAGTGATTTAATTATGAATTATTGTCTTATTTATGAATAGTTTGTTAAATTCTAGCCATAGAACGTATTACATTTGAACTGCGTTGAAAAACTTAATAGTTTAATAACTGTAGGTTGTTAAAGACGAAGTCGGTGGAATTGGGTTAAATTATGGAAATACTTGACGATAGAAGAGAAATAAGTTGATTGGCTACGCACTGAATTATCAATAATTATAATTTTAAATATTATAAAAAAAACTGACCACTTTTATTCCCACAATATATGACATTCGCCTCAAATCGTAATATTGCCACATACCTTTATGTCAGTACACTGTTATTAACTCCGTCGAGTAAACGTTAAACTGTGTGATGGTACTCGTAATTATAAAACACACAACATTTTCCCGCGCAAACATTATACCATAATCATTTAATTTCCTTGTTGATTTTCTCACGAGATCCACTCGCGATATAGTAGGTACCTTGCGATTTTATATAAAACATACTTAAATTTTGTAGTCTTATTTAAAATTCCAATTGTTTCATAAATTTAAATTGGGGTGACGTTATTATCTGACTAGTTTAAATTCATTATACATTTAAGTCGCGCATTTTAGAACTATTATCACTTTTAATTTAGTAATGCGAGTCGAACGTTTTGATGACGCAATTTAGGTATTGTTTTTTATGTAAGAAGGTTGGATGCGAGCCGGCGGTTGACCTGATGTTAAGTGATAACCGCCGCCCGTGGACATTTGCAGCACCCTTAAGGTTGCAGAGGCGTTGCCACCTTTTAATGAAGTGGGCTCCGACTACCTCACTCACCAGACGAAACGCAGAAGTACATTTCCACTTCACGCCGGTCTTCTGTGAGGCCGTGGTACTTACCCGGATGGACCTGCCCATTCGTGCAATAGCAAACACTATTGCTTGTCCCTACTACAGTTGCCACGCTTTAGTGCCTAGTTTTTGCTATGGTATGGGAAGTTTGACACAATAAGTTTCATCAATGATCCTCTACGTCACTCAGAAAACCAGAAAAATGGTACATTTTAAAAGTCACAATGAAGGTATAGATATGCACGCGATGTTGTTCGATCCGCTTAGCATAATTTAATTACGAATAATTCATTAATTTGAATAAATGGGCAATTATAACTTTATTACTGGGTGCAAATGGCAGTGTCGCTCATTGTTGCGTTCTAGAGGGGAAGACCTTTGGTTAGCAGTAGCCTTCTTCCGGTTGATGATGATTATTATTTATTTGTCATATATTGATAATAATATAACATGGGTTTCGATTTAGAATATGAATATAAATCTAATCATAATAAATCTTTATCATAAACTACATACTATAAATAAGTATAATAAACCACAAATGAAATTATAACAATACTTATATTTGTACTAGCTGTTAAACAAGGCGTTGCCCGCGCGGTTAAAGGGAATTAACAATCAGTTTTTTATTATACACCAGAATAGCTCGCAGATGGCAGAATTTTTCCTACTTACCTAACTTCACACTTATCGTTATGTTTTGGACAATTCACATAATATCTTCATTAATTATAGCCTATATGTTATTCTGATGTATTAGCTATATTATTGTAAAGTTTCATTAAAATCCATTCAGTAGTATTTGCCTGAAAAGGTAACAAACATCCATTCATACATACAAACTTTCGCCTTTATAATATTAGTAAGGATGCGAAGAATAGGCTATAATTTATATACATATTTCATGTATATTTGTCTTTCTATCTTAACGTTACGCCTTCAGCCTATTCTACGCAGACGTAGTCGCGGGCAGCAGCTAGTTTATAATATTAGTAAGGAAGTAAGGATAATAAGTGATATTGTACATATCGTCCCTTGAGTAACTAACTTAACATGTCTAACGGATAAACGTATTCCGATTCTGATTCCGAAGGCATACTCTCGATGAGCCTGGTGCCATACTTCGCGGGCGAGGTGTCGGACATAACGATCGTGCCGGTCAACTTCAGCTACGACCGCATAATGGAGCAGACGCTGTTCGCGTACGAACACATTGGCGTGCCCAAGCCGAAGGAGTCCACGGGGGTGAGTTTCCTCGACGGATGTAAGTGGCCAATAAGAAGTAACTCCAACAGGCGATCGAAGTGACCCATTGCGTCCCACTTCCAGCACACCGTTACGGATGCACCGACATAGGCTCTATTTTGACTCGCAGTCCAAATAAACGAAGTATGTCTCACGAATTGGGCGAAAATGAGTCTAGGTTACGGCGATTTTCTATAAGGCCTCGCTAACTAAAATGGAAGAATACGATAACGAACTATTGATTGTGGTGGGGCCACGCAGCAGTCTTCGCTCTTGCACGAATGGGCAGGTCCGTAAGGTATAAAAACGGCCTCAAAGAAGACCGGCGTGAAGTGGAAGTGTTATACTTCTGCGTTTCGTCTGGTGAGAGAGGTAGCCGGGGCCCACTTTATTAAACGGTGGCAACGCATCTGCAACCCTACGGGTGTTGCAAATGTCCGTGGGCGAAGATGATCACTTAACATGAAATAAAATAAAGTAAAGTAAAAAAAATCAGGTGAACCAGCTCGCTTGCCACCTTCTCATTAAAAAAAAATGATCAACGCACAACGCGGCTCATGGTGTTCCAACAAACGATCGCAGATCCCTTGCCGACCTATACCCGGCCCAGGATATATAGCGATAGAAATAGGCTTTGTTTTGACAACAAAAACGAACAGCACGAACAGTTGAAACAAACGGAGTGTTCTTAACAAATCTTAAAGACTTAACAAGCAGCTCTTTCGGATTCGTCTGTCCGACCCCCACTTACTTCACCCGTTGCGAAATGTTGTTATCGTAAATTTCGATGTGCGCGATTTCGTCTACATCGCCTGTCGTATTGACAACTACACCGCTTCCCCACTTTTCCACGGCAAGGAGAAAGACAGCACTGAACACGTGCTTAAAAAAAATCGTCGACAATGATATCACATTATTATTATTTTATTTTTATTTGGGCCATACGTCTAAAAATAAAACTTAGAAGAATCAATTGAAATCTATATTCAGTGCCATTTCGCCTATGAGCACACAACGGCAGACCTCTATAATTTTATTTATCATGTCAACCAATTCAAACACATTCATACAATCATTGCTAGGTTGTGTAATAAAAAATATTACTATATGATATCTGTTTGTTATAACAACTGTGCTGTGTTCTATATCAAGTGTATGTGTGATTTTAGCCCACACTTACAAAAAAGGTGCAGACATGCTGTTGCAAAGAGTACATCATTTAATCATCAGCAGAACTGGTTACTTTAAAAAAGAAGACACCTTGAAATGAGTTAATATTTTCTTTCGTAATTGAAATAACAATTTGAATGTGAAACATGAAACTATTATCGCTAGTAAACATGCCCAATCTATTGTAGCCTACACAGTGATTAGTTTCGAGAATATTCCTCGTTTACAAAGTTTTAATAATAATGTTCGTCAATATAATTTTAGTAGCGGACATCGTGTGTATATGACTTCCAAACTTACATTAATATACGAAAAAGTGTTAGTTTTTGCGACACAGCAAAAACGTTTGTTATTTAAATTAATTTTTAGGTACTTATCACGATTTCATTATGGAATAATTAACACCAACCAACACTATAAAAATGTAAGAAATATGTATAAAAAGTACTTGGCCCAAGTGATGGTTAGTAAACAGACTGCATTTGTTACATCTGCAAACAAAATATACAAAATTTCTTTTAAAATTACTCTTACTATTATGCAAAACGAGCCTTGACTAAGCTTGTAAACTAAAAAAAACCTTAATACCAACCCACAAACATTCTTGTGTAATTATGAAAATTAACAATAAAATAACTAATACCCAAAACCAAATGATCGAATTTAACTTTCTCGAGTTAGTCAAAGCGGTTGAAATTAGAAATGCATATTATAGTATTCAACGATGCATATTCGACTGTATTTTATACAGTTTTCATGTATTTTTCCTCAAATTCGAGTACAAGTAGGTGAATCGTCTGCTTTCTTGCCATTTTCCATTAAAAAAAGGTTATAAGTTGGCAACACATCTGCAGAGCCACGGATGTAATAGGGCTTAATTCTTCATGGGCGCTAGTAACTTAACATTCTGAGACTTCTCAAATAAAAAGAAATATACAGCGTGTCGTTACCATCGCGACAATAAATGAACACACGTCTAACGCTACTTGCCAATAATCATAAAAAAATATTAACATTAAACAAAATCCATAATTAAAAAAAATTTTTTTTCAAACTAACTAATTAAGTAAAAAAGAAACAAAACTTGCAACATCCTATACAACTCGCGTCATAGCGTCGCATTACAAGCCTCTCCTTCTAACAGTATGTTTTGTCTCTTTTAAATTCATTCAACCCATTCACATGCTTTGTGACCTTTACAAATGAGCTTTACTTTACGCTTTTATAGGTAAGGGTGTTCTAAAATTCTTTGTTTTGGAAAATGTAATAACCCTGTAAATATTGATGTTTAAAGAATTTAAATGTTTAATACAACTTTAAAAAGTTATCCCCTATATGTGTGTTCATTTATTGTCGCGATGGTAACGACACGCTGTAGACCAATAACGACCGTCTACGCATGGGAACCCCCTCGCCTCTATTATAATGTTACTATTTCTCTCTTCTTTGCGATCTATTTGGTCTTTTTGGTATGCCCCAATATCAATAGATGGCGCCGTTGCTAAGCTAGTGGCTTCGGCGTCGAGGGTCGTGGGACACGGGACAACTATTGACCCACAAATAATTGTTTCGGATCTGTGTATTTGTCCACGTGAAATTTATGTTTGTAAAACAACGTAACGACAACACAGAAATAAAGTTATCCTACAGGGAAATGTTCATTAAATAAAAGAAAAGAAAATATATACTCCAGGGGGTGTTAAGAAACTCTGGCATAGTTAAACATACATAAAATAGAGTTAACAATTACAGCAGATTTGTGTTTCTGTGAACCACTTTTTTAAGCACGTAGCCGCTTGCGCGTCACATCACGCGCTGTCAAATTACTGCTGTCACATCACGCGCTGTCAAATCACTGCGTCAGCGCGGGAAATGTGTTATTATAGCGTTTACGACCTTGGCGATAAAAACAATTGCCGTTCGCCAACTACAAATGCTATATCAAAAAACAAAGCACAATTGATAAGCTGGATAACTAAGGAATCTAATTATCTAAAAATCAACAGTAATAATTTTAATTAGCAACTCTAAAATAACTAAAATGGAAGAACTGTGATGGAAATCTTTTAATAATATTTATTTCATGAAAACCCTTTAACTTTACTTCCCTTTTAACTATATAATAAACTAGATTAAATGTCCTTTTTAACAATACAGAATGATTTTAAAACTTATTTACCAACATCAAAAAAACTTAGAAGAAGCGAGTTACGTCTTTGGATAAGATTATTATTGCATATTTTGAACTTAAAACTAATAATAATAATAGTTTATGCGTGTAGTTCAACAATTTTTCTTCAAATAAAAGATATATTTTCGTTTAATAGTTAAAAATTAAATATTTAAATAAAATAATTAAACTTATGTAAAATGGAACAATTTTTAATATTTTTCAATCTTGGATTATTTTCTGTAGCAGCTCCTTCTTGACCGAACGGCGACAACGCCGCAACCCTACGCTGTGCAATTTGCCTTTCGGCACGTATTTGACTTAATCAATTATAAAAGTGTAGTAAAAATATATAAGTAGTATAAGTAATATAGTAAGTATAAGTTTTTACTTTGGATGGGCCACGAAGAAGACCGGCGTGAAGTGGTAGTGCCATACTTCTACGTTTCGTCTAGTGAGGGAGGTGGGTGGCCGGGGCCCACTTTATTTAAAGGAGGCAACGCATTTGCAACCCTACATGCAATTATTAAGCGCCAGCTCGTTTGCCACTTTTACACATAAAAAAGTACTGTTTTAATATTGACATTTCGAGGTGCTGTAGTACTGTTTTGATATTGACATTTCGAGGTGCTGTAGTACCCAATGGCTTTTTGGAAGTAGCTAAGTAGTATTACAGAAAAATGTAATACAATTTTCAACCGTGGGATGGAAAACAAAAAGGATACGAATAACACGGAGGGTTCGAGCGTTTTTGTTATCAGTCGTACATTTTGCCAAATTAAACCGACAGATTATGATTTCCATATTTTCTGAATTACTAAACATAAAATTAAATCAACTGGAAAAACGTGACGGAAGAAAATTTACCTTTGCGAACTTTCCAACGATCACCCCAGGGGCTCATCAAAGCGTTACGCAGTCTCAACGACCACTTCGGGAACATATACATCAACTTCGGCGCGCAAATCTCGCTCAGGGAGTTCCTACGGGACCACAGCCTGGTCACCGGCGAGATGTTGAAGCCGCCCAGTCTGCAGCAGCTGACTCCAGAGCAGATTTTACGGGTGCGGGAAGTAGCGCACGAGGTGGTGGCCCTGCAGCAGAACAGCGCCACAGCGACGATAACGAACTTCGTGGCGTTCGCCCTGATGGACGCCTTCGCGAGGAACGCAGCACCGCAGTACGAGCGCTTTCTGCTCGATGTGGAGTGGACGGCGCAGACCCTGCGGGGTTTGGGCGCCTCGGTGTACGAGAGGGACGTAAGGAGCAGCGTGGACAGTATCCTGGTGGTTCACCATAAGCTGGTGGTTTTGGATGGGGACAACCGTCTTCGGCTAGTCGCCGGCGATCTGATGGAAGTCTCCAGTGAGGTCAAGGGGAAGATGAAAGGTGCGTACGATCAGCGTTATTTTTTTTAAATTATTTTCGTATTTTATGTTTTCTTGGATTAGTTTCATGGTTGAAAGGTAATTAATCTCTGTGAATATTTACTGAATATTGATTCGAAGGAGATTGTAGTACTTAAGAAAAGAAACATTCATGCCCAAATATAAGTAAGTAATCTAAGCATGGTTCTAATTTGATGTACTTTTTAGATCCAACCAAAATATCTCAAACTTTAATATCCAATGGCTTAATTAGCCATCAGTTGCAACTAGTTGAACCTGAACTATGATAGTAAATATTACATAATTAAACTGATTGCCGTAGTGGATAGTGGAACCGTTTCTTACGCCAGAGGGTGTGAGTTCCATCCCCACTGGAAATATCATGTGTGATAAAGTTTGTGTTTTTCTAGTGTCTGCGTGTTTATACATAATATTTGTATTTATTTAAAAGAAAGTGTGTAATATGTCCATCGGTTAAATTCATAGTACAAGCTTTGCTTAATTTGGGACTAAATAACGTTGTGTAAATATGTCCTGAAATGTTTGTTTATTTTTTGTCTTTCTTTTTTTATAGGCCACATACTAAAGGCAGAGACGATGGTAAACGCTCTGCCCATAATCCAACTTCAGATTTACGTTAACCCTCTACTGCACTATGTTGTACCGCCCGCACTAGTTTATCTTTTGGTAAAGAGAGGATCGACTACCCGAGGTAAATGTAGTTTGTGATGTAATATTATGTTCTTATCGTTTTTGAGGTTATACTTGGCGTTTGGGAAAAATTTTAAGGGTTAATGGCAACCAATAATGACTTTTGGATATTTAAATTTAATTCAAAGTTTTTTTATCTAACTATTATCATTTAGCAAACGAAAAGTGCTGGCACACGGGATAAAATTTTTAGTTATTTTTCTTTTGTTATGCTATATAAATATAACTTTTTTCGTGCGAACATACATAATTATACACACACATAAGTAAAGACACACACAAATATACACACACTCATTATCTGTAGTGTGTGAATGGAAGCCACGACGAGCGGCATAAAACTGTATCGTCTAACAATTTTGAAAACGAAGCCGTCAAGTTTAATAAACCGCGTAGTATTAAACATTTTCTTTAGTGCCTTGTCGGAATTTGCACTCGCATATTTGGGACTGTTCTTCGGATGTTAAGTGATCATCGCTGCATTAAAAAAAAAACTATTTGCGTTGTCAATCATTAAAATGATTGAGGTAATCTCACTTACCAGTCAAAACGTTAACGTAAAACACTTACGCCGATCTTCGGCGAATTTGTGGTTCTTCCGAGGAGGAATCAGCCAATTTGTGCAACAATAGAATATGACTAGTGTCTCGAACAAGAAATTAGGAATCAGCTGATTCGTGCGACAATAGAATATGACGAGTGTCTCGCAGAACGAGTTAGTTACATCAAAGTTTGCCCAATTTCAGAGGAGCTTACCACGGACTATCACCGATTGAGGATGCTGCTGAAACACGAATTCTTCTACGTCGAGAGGACCAAAAACGACGTGAGTTGGTTAATGTTTGACCATTAGTTAGTCATTTTTTTGTCAAATTGTGTAAAAATAATTGTCCGGCTGAGTTTCTTTTGTTTCTTCGTTTTCTTGATTATATATTGTAAAAACGTCCTTGCAACACATATATAAATATAGCCTATGTTACTCAGGGATATTGCAGAACGAATAGCTCCGTGGCGTCCATAGTCGGCATCGGGGGTCGTGGGTTCGATTCCCGTCCGGGACAACTATTTCTGTGACCCACAGATTGTTGTTTCGCATCTGGGTGTCTGTCCGCGTGAAATTTATGTTTGTAAAACGTCCTAATAATAATAATAATAAAATAATCGTCCTAAAAACACAGGATAATGTCCTAAAGTAAGGACCAGGTTTTTTTAATTAAAAAAAAAATACACGAATCGCTCCTCTTTATAATATTAAGAGGATTATTATAGTAAAGATTAGTGCGTTATGTGTGAATTTGTATTTTTTTCTTCATTTCAGATATTTAACGCGGCCGTCGAATACTGCATACGAAATAACGTCATAGTCAATAATCAGAACATGCTTGTCGCTGGTAACAGTGAGAGGTTACAGTTTCTGCTGGATTGGTCTTTACTACCGTTCCTCACCATCCTAAAGCTCTGCAGTGACGTCATGGCGGAGGTGGGTTCCATTGCAGACATTAACCGGATGATACTTGTTTCGTGTAATTTAACTACACATAATGAAGTCGCTGTTGAATGCCCAATGATTGGGAAATATTTTTTTTAGAAGATGGGTAACGAGCCTGTCGGTTCGCATGATGTTAACTGATACCGCCGCCCATGGACAACGCATCTTCAACACCCGTAGGGTTGCAGATGCGCTGCCACCTTTTATTAAAGTGGGCCCCGGCTACCTCACTCACCAGACGAAACGCAGAAGTGTTACACTTCCATTTAACGCTTGTGTTCTGTGCGGACAGACGGACCTGCCCACTCGTACAACAGCGAAGTTGCGTCATCCTACCACAGTTTTACCTATTGGCTTCATCATCATCATCATTTCAGCCTTTTAGTGCCCACTGCTGAACATAGGCCTCCTTCCCCATGGTCTGCTACCATGTTGTATACCACCACAAAATATTAATGAGTTAAATTTAAAGCTGTGGGAGAATAATATCATTATCCTCCTTAATTCACCTTTGTGGGGTTGCCATTAAAATTAAGTGGCTTTGGCTAGTTTTTTTTTTTTCGAACGGCCGCCTGCGACCCATCTAGCGAACAAATACCCAGATCCGGTACATTTATAACAATAACTGAGCAACTACGCCACCGAGTCACGTCAGAATACTAACATATAATGATTTTTATATTTCAAACGTACTAGATGTAATACAATCACAATTGTCTTTAATTTCTATCGAATACGTCACAATTTAAATCGTGACATCTTCGTACATCAATTTCATAGTTTGTACTTTCGATGATCCGATGATGAATTTCCATTTCCAGAAGGGGAGATGCGATGGGAAGAAGTTGCTAAAGCTGGTTCAGCAACGGGCAGAGGAAAGCGGCCACCATCCCTACTGCCTGAGCCTGGAAGCCACCTCCAACTGCTTACAGGGCCTGGTGCTAGCCGGTGCCCTTCAGCAACGCAAGACGTGAGCACGCCTTACCACTCGAACACTACACTCCCTTTATTTGAAAAACTCTTAGGAAACATTTTAAAATGCATAAAAGTAAAGTAAAGTAATAGCCTATACATGTCCCACTGCTGGGCAAAGGCCTCCTCTATACAGAGGGTATCAGGGCATAGTCCACCACGCGGCCCCACTGCGGATTGGCGAACTTCACATATCTTCGAAATATATATTTTTTTGTTATTATTTCGAAACTATGCAGGTTCCCTCACGATGTTTTCCTTCACCGCGGAGCACGTGATAAGTCAGCACTGAAAGTTAAAAACTTTATTGGTGCCGGCACCGGGGATCGAACTCAGGTTGCTCGAGTATATTGAATTAAAGGCGAGCGCCCGGACACTGAGCTATTACGGTTTTAAAATGCATACTTAACACTAAATGAAATACAGTTTTAAAAAAGTAACGTCTATGACACCGTCGAAGTGTTGCACACACTTCAATATTGATGAATTTTGCGGGAGCAAGACGGAAAGCTATTTGGATTGCTGCCAAAACGAGAGAGCAACACTCCTAACCCGACGGTATTCTGTAAATTGCACAACAACATGGACAAAGTTCAGAGGAGTTTTTAACTTGATTGAACATTATTATGTTTTTGGTTTCCATCCGTAGACTATTAAAGCTTCGCCGAACGCAGCAGCCGTGGCCTAGCCGGAACCCACGAGCTTGAAATTTTATCCCGTGTGCCATGTACTCTTTCTTTGTGAAAAAAAAAAAAGACATTAAATATAATTGATGACGGAATCATTAAATAACTTCGAATTATAGGTAAGGTCAAAAATGACCCTATGAAACTCCCCATAGATCCGCGCTAGATCGGTGGATCGCTTAAGTCTTCTAAACGTGATCTAATTTACAGGGGAAAGGAGACCAATTACGAGGTGGCGTGTACCACCATGGAGAGTTACCGAAAATTGCTGGTTTCGGTGATGCCGCAATTGCCAGCCGGCCTCGGCCTCGGTTCTCGCAACGACTTACTGCAGCGCCGCCCGCCCGTCGTTTCGCGCCTGTAATGACTGTAATGACGTCACAGTACGCGTACCAACAGTGACGTCACCGCCACGCTCAACCAAACAGCACGCGTACGCAGGGGGTGACGTTACCGCCAGTGACGTAACTCCCGCGTTCCACCAATAAGGGCAAAGGAGGATTGCGACATCAGCGCCCCTAGAGGCGCCGCTTGATACTGCGCACTCAGTGATGACGTCACGAGGGCGCAGAATTTTCTCGCATATTTAACTCGTGCCATTAGGGTTGTGCCGTGAATGTTTTGTTTTATGTTTTATTAAAATCGCTTCCCATGCTTCACGATTTACGGTCATGGGTCAATTGTCTAAATCAACTGCGATATCACGTTAGTGTTTATATCACACTAACGCCCGGTTTCTGAAACACTGATCAACATCATAGAAATTAACTACTCAGTTGTCAAATGGCTTTTCAAAATCTCATATGAGTTGCCAAAAGTATAGTTAAACTCTTTGAATTGATTATTCTGATCAATTCAGAAAGTTTAACCATTCAGTAAGTCAGCTATTATTATTATTATTATTACTATACTTTAGTTCTTTGCACAAGAGACGATCTATATTAACGTTTAATTGTTCGTAAATGCGTCCTGTTGTGATTGTCCCTGACCATCAACCTGCTTATTTTTTATCGACTTCAAAAAGGAAGAGTATTATTTCTTTTTCAATTGGTATATATTTTTTGTAGTTCTTTCGTCGCATAAAGGTGTGACGTCATATCACAAGTTGCTAATCGACATAGCTCAATTTACTGCCGTTTTTGTTGGATTTGAGGCATTTTAAAGATCGTTCTAGGAATCGTTGTCGACATCAGTTTTTTTTCTTGAAGAATATGTCAACCGTTAGTACTAGTCATCAGAGTCGTATTTGCGTTTGAGCTTTACATTGTTTTTATTAATTTTATTTTCAGTAGTTAACACTCAAGATGAAACCTAAAGTGTTTTTCGTCAAACCATTCACATTTTAAACTTATACAAATGTCTAACATTAATTATATTTTTTTTATGTGAAAAAGTGACCTGAAGTTAAGTAATAACTGCCGCCCATTCATTTGGACATTTGCAACACCTATAAATAAAGTGGGCCCCGGCTACCTCACTCACCAGACAAAACGCAGAAGTGTAACACTTCTACTTTACTCTGGTCTTCTGTGAGGTCGTGGGAATTACCCGGACGGATCTGCCCATTCGTACAACAGTGAAAACTGTTGCGCGGCCCTACCACATAAAATATACCGAACTCCGTATGTACCTGCATATTTTTATTGCATTTCCTTACTTATCTCATCAGGATTTAGCCTGTGGTAATGTCTTTAATGCATTAAGTTCTAATATACCGGAATATATTCGGAATTTCATTAACTGCAATTCAGTTATACGGATTCCCAAACAGTATTGAATACCGAAATGTATTAAACAATAATATTATTCCCACAAAGTAAACTTCTACACGCAGAGAGGTTTAGCGCTAACTTGCACTAAATTGGTTTCCTTGTCAAGTGGTAACAAGTCATAAACACGAAAAAAAAAAACATTATGCGTTTCAATAACTCCTAATTTTATATTTATTTTGTTGAAGGAGCAATCACTGTGTTCCATTTTGTTGTTACGTTTGCTACATTAAAATAAGGATTATACGTCTGTTATCGCTGTTCGTAGGAATATACTGAACAGTATTTATTTAGGCTATGGGATTTTTTTTTATGTAAAGGTTTTTTTAAGGCGTTGATAGTTTAATAAAAATTATAGTTTACCTACCATAATCTTGTCATAACGTTTGTATTTTAGCTGACGTCAATTTTATGGAAGTAAAACTTTTGATAGGTCTGTTGCATCATTGTGATGCAGAAGCAACTAGAATTATTGTATAAAGTTAGGTTAATTATGACGCCCATTATGATAATCTGAGATTATGAACACATAGATAAGATATACATGAATCGTGCCGTTCAAAATTGTGTAAAAAGGTTATACATAATTGTCAAAAGTAGCAATAAAATAATTATAATGCGGTGTTGAGACTAGCAAAACCTCAGAATTTATCGTTGGTATGATGAATGTATCGTGGTTTTTAAAATTTCGGTTAATGCATACATGTGTTGGGAAATCGCAAAATAGCTATGTGATTGACGCGTCTACACGGAAGTTTTTCAAGCGTTATTTCTTATATAAACTTGGTTTAAATATGGGTTATGTTAGTAGTATATAAGTTATGTATTGCTCTATTCAGTATATTAAATATTCCCTAGTATTTTGTTGCATTTGCCAAATGATAAAAACAGAACTGTGATAAATCAGTGTCGACATTTTGTTTTAATGTATTATTTCGACTTTATAAATTGCAGTCAATGATTTTTAATTAAATAGAAAAATAAACACATTATCTGTTATTGTTAATTACCTCATTAAATTAAATATGTTTAATGTAAATAAGTTTGACGGTTAAGTGCTATGCTTGATGTTTTAAATGGTTTATAAGTTTTATTAGGTGGACCTAAGTATCTTTAGCATTGCATGATGTATGTTATCTACATTTTTAATTCCATGGATCTTCTTTTATCACTATATTGATTAACAACTATCTATCGCAACCATCAGCGATGTTTTAAGTGTTGCCAATAATTGCGAGTATGAACCTCCGGCAATAACGGATAAAACGCAAAGCTATAAATTTAAATACTATCTCCATATCGGGTTATCTGGTTAGAATCCCAATACTCAGTTGTCGCAAAGCACTTCGTTAAAATAAAAAACAAAACATTGATTTGAACCCTTTATTTACAAAAAACACAAAATTATTACATCGTGCAATTTACAAACATTAGACGACGAGGAAAAATATAGATAAATACGTTTAAAACATAATTTATTAACATATTTTCTGAACTGTAATATAAATGAATGTTTATCAATACGATATTGATGTATACAATCAGTGTAACGTTGAGATCATTAAACCACCATCGCATAAAAAACAGTCTAATAAGTAAAATGATGAAATATTAATTCACAGTTATCTTTACAATATTTACATAATTACAGTACAAAATGCTCGTCTCTCAAAGAAGCCCATTTTTTTGATATAGAAAATAGTCCAAATTCAAAACTCGCGATTGAAGACTACATTTATTCTCGATTAGTATGAATTATTTAGAAAAAGCCTAGTCTAGCCAGTATAATATTATATTTCGATGAGAGCAGGGCAAGGTAAGAATTTTGAATTTACGTGAAAGCTAAAGATATTTATCTTGGCAGATGATGGTTGTATTAAAATTACAAATCTTGTACAGAGTAAACAGCAGTCTGTGCAAAACTCATATTTTCGTAAACAACAGATGCCGCGGTGAAATGGGTTTCCCGACTGGGGGGGTAGTGTCCCCTTATTATCGTGACGTCACGTTATTCTACAGAAATAAGTATATATTCTACATAAATAATTAACAACTGGGAATATCGATTAAACGATTTAAAACCACAATTAGCCGTTGCGCGCTAGACTCTAAATAAATTACACGTAGAAAAATAAAATTAAAATAAAGTAAAATTTAAGATACTTACATTAAAATTACGGTAATATAAAAAAAATTACAAGTAGTTCAACTAGTTACCACAGAACCCATCTCATTGTAAAAATAAAAAGAAGAATAGAATGTAAATGTGCGCAGTCTACAAAATTTTTTATTTTTTTATTTTTACAAATCACTAGTGTGCTTCTTCGCCGCTATAAAATTTAAGTAAAAGCAGTCTGTATAAAAGTAGTTAAGAAAATTATGCATATTTGAAGAAGATTTTCTCGCCGCCTTGTATTATTTACAAAAAGCTTAAGCTAGATGATAGAGCAGTGATATTAGGAATATGAGCGGTATGGCTTAATAACCCTGGACATTCGGCTTTCGGTCGAATAGCATAAAAGTAGCCAATTCGGCCGAATACTGAATTGTAGAGTATTCATTTCAAGTCTAATTTGGTCACCTAATAAATTGACTGAGGTACTAGAACTTTAATTCAAACTCATAATAATTCGAAAATCCGACAAAAAATTAAATACAGTCAATAATATAAGTCAAATTTGTTCTACCATTGATATTATATTTTACCCATTACTACATACTCCATTGTCTGGTTTTGCTAATATACTCATATAAAAATCGCGCATAACTTAAATTTGCCTGAGTGAAATTATCCAGTTGTACCGTCGAGCGCAAAAACTGAGTTATCGCGTAACAGATTCACAAAACATCGAAAAGGGTATGTTCGATAAACTCATTCGCGTTGAACGCAACTGTACGTAAATGATGGGACAGAAACAGCGAGCGATTTGGACTGCGGTGCGAGCGAGAGGACACCAACCCCATTGTTCCGATCGCTAACCGCACTGTGCAATGTTAATTCAGGTATAATACTTTCGCGTTTCGTTTGGTGAGTGAGGAAGCCGGAGCCCAATTTTCAAAAGGTTGTCAACGCATGTTCGGAATGATGGGCGGCGGTATTCACAATCAGGTGAACCGTCTGCTCGTTTGACAACTTTTCGAGGCGCGTTTAAGTTTTTCGCTATGTATACTTCAATATCAGCCGCGTCTCAGTGTTTGGTTGATGAAAACGGACCGTATCTCCATAGGGCAGAGCGTGACGACGCTCTGGGGCACAGGGTCCCGCAACCTCACAAACGTCAGCGAACTGTCGTAGACTCGATCCGACGATATCTCCAACAAGTCGGAGAGACGTACCTGGAAATCGAAATTGAAGAACCTATAACATAAAAATCCGCTCGTGTATTGAGTACGCAAGTACGTATTGAGCAAAAAGTGAGTGGTGACATACAGGATGTCTCCAAAAGCAACGTAATGGCGCCAACCAATTTAAGCAATGGTTATTTCAATACGTATATAAATCAATGGCCATTATTCTAACTCAGGAACAAATTTAATCAATTTTTCAATTTTGGAATCGAAGTATAATGACTGTAAAAAAGTCATGATTTCCGGGCCATTATTAAATTTGCCAGTAAGACTATTTTTAATTTTGAAGCAAATTATTTCTCTAATTTTGATAAAGATTCGGAAGACAGATTCCTTTTGATTAAAGAATAGTGTAACTGTGGTAACTGAGTCCGAGCTCAAATTGGTAAAAGTTTGCAACGCATTTGTACCTATCTCATAAGAGTTGTAGATGTCCATAGACGGTAATCACTCAACATCAGATAGACCGCCTGAACACTTGCCAACTTTTCGCATAAGAAAAAATAGTAACAGGAAATAAAATGTATTTTAGAAATTTCCGAATAATCCATAACCGAGGAGACATGATACAACTATCAATTTGACTTTTAAGACATCATGTAGATATTGATTTTTTGTTCATCTAACGAAATACTAAAAATTAAAAAATCCAAAGTTATCGATTAATCAGGGAAAAGTTGACATCAACGCTTTATTTGGTTCGCATAAGTTGCCTTCCTACGTCTTTTCCGTTACCTGTCCATCTCCCACAGGGTAGGACGCCGCGACGGTCTTATTCCCGTAGCACGTGTCCAAATGCACCCTCTGCAGTGTGACCCCCATTCCGTGAATGTGCTTGCCGTCTTTGTCCTGGAAAAATGAACGAAACGAACCATTATGTTTAAGGCATTAAAGAACAACACAAACGTACGCACACAAGTAAATGTCAACGATAAAATGTTTAGCAGACATGGCGTACGTGTACATACATACATGCAAACAAACGCACACATAATTAAGCACCGCTTGACCGTCGCACTCGACTTGGGCCTAAAGTTGGTAGAGGATTATAAAATAGTTTTTCTGAGCCGTGGTGTAATTTGTATGAGTGCTTACATGCCTGTGAAACCCTAATTCGTCAGTGTGGATGTCCGTTCTTAATACATAATTAAAGATTCTTAATTCATGCGTCGCTGCTTAATCGTGCAAACACACACACACACACACGCGCGTGCGATACAGCAGAAGCTTCTACTTAATCGTGCAAACGCACACACGCTATAAACAGGGGCAGGCTCATGGCAGCACGACGTCGGCCATGTTCAAATTGAAAACACGCACACACACACGCCCGCAAATACGCGCTGACATTGCCAACACGCACACATGCGCGCACGCTACGTGCGGCGAACTCACGGCGGCCGTGAGAGGGTTGAACGCAACCAGCGCGTCGTCCGCGTCCAAACTGAAAACGCGCACACACGCATGCAGGCAAACACGCACACATCCACACACGCTACAAGCAGCGAACTCACGGCGGCCGTGACATAAGCGTTAAAGGCGGCCAGCGCGTCGTCCGCGTCCAAATTTAAAACGCGCACACACGCACGCACGCAAACACGCACACACGCGCGCACGCTACGGGCGGCGAACTCACGGCGGCCGTGACGTGGGCGTTGAACGCGGCCAGCACCACGTCAGCGGCGCTGGAGGCGGCGCGCGAGTACGCCGGGCGGGGGGTGCTCTCGCTGGCCGCGTGGTGCATCACCAGCGGCGGCTGCAGCAGCATCTGCTGCGACACGTGCGCGCCCAGCGTCAGCTGCCCGCTGGCCCGCTCCTCGGAGGGCCGCTACGTAGCAGAAAGGAGGGAAATGTATTTATGTATCGAGGAAAAGGACGGACACGACAAAAAAATATTACACTTTTTATGTTAGAAGGTTGCAAGCGAGCTGACGGTTCACCTGATGCTAAGTGATGACCGCCGCCCATTTGCAACACCCGTAGGGTTGCGGATGCGTTGCCACCTCTTAATAAAGTGGGCCCTATGGTTTACTTACAAGAACTGATGGTCTACGTTGAACTGGGGCCTTTTTCATCAGCATATGTCGATAGGACGTATATGAACATATTTTGCACTGCGTACTATTATTTTGTTGAGAAAAGAATAGCGATCAAATTACCTGGCAAGGCACAGCGGCTTCCGCGATCAGCTTGAAAGTGTGTCGAGTCCTAACGTTGTCCAATATTCCTTGGTTCAGTCCTCGATTGTCGTCGCGAGTCAATCGCCTATCTTGCATTACCTGAAACGGTCAACTTTATATAGGAACCTGGATATTGAAAATATAATCTATACAGATAAATTAAATTAGAGTGTGTGTTTGTAATATTAAAGTAACCGCTTTCTACACACGATGATTATGATATATACACGGTACATATGCCAAAATATTTTTTTTTACAATTTTTGTCTGTCTGCATGTTTATTCCGGCTAATCTCTGAAACAGATTGACCGATTTTGACGGGACGGGGAACTGATGTAATATGAAATTTATTACATCAGCTATCTGCCAGTGAAACTATTACTTTACAAATTTTTTGCTACTTTTATTTTAGAAGCGAAATTTAAAATAAATAACTAAATTTCTTCAAGATGCAAATTCTGATGGATTGTTCATAGTATTTTACTAACTAGCCCTCTAGTTAGTAATCCTCCCTTATATACCCCTGTCCATATGTATTAGAAGCCCGAGAGTGGAATTTAATAAACGAAGGGGAAGAGTGGAAAGATATTGGCTTCGGCGTCGGGGGTCGCGGGTTCGATTCCCATACGAGCAAACCATTTGTGTGACGCACAGATTTAGAATTGTTTCGGATCTGGGTGTTTGTCCGCGTGAAATATATGAAATATATGGTATACGTCCGAACACAGTACAATGTTATCCTACAGTAATGGGGCATTTCGAAGGGAAGACTACAATAGATCTTCTTGGTCGCTGTGGCTTTTGGAACTCACTACCACTTTCACACAAAAGTATAATATAAATGTTACACTTCCTGATAGCGGGCTATTTACCTCGATCTGGCCCGGTTGCAGGGCAGCCATTCCCAGGGGCGTGGAGGTTAAGAGGGTGAGTCGGGTGCTATCGTCCTGGATGTAAGCGGCGGCCGGCAGAGGGTAGAAGTTCGCCTGCAGTGGCAACTTCTCAAAGTAGCGCCGTTTGATCATCTGCGCAACGTTTGCAACGCGATTTAATTTCATTTTATACTATTAATTTTTTATGTAATTTCTTAGGCTGCTATTGATAGGCGTTTGATAGGCTTAGGTGGCTATTTGATAATTGGACGAAGGTTCAGGAACGAAAATTAAAAGACGCATCCACGTTTAGGCACATTTCGTTACATGAAAGAGAATGCACATTTCGTTACATGAACGAGTAACTAAACTGTATTAGTAATGATGGCATTACTATTACAGTTTACTTATATTTCGTTGTGCGGTCCTTCTTCACTCTCACAATTTTTTCCAAACGCGCCAAAAGAAGCGTAACAGTAAAAAACTTTACACCGCCAAAGTACACACTTGCATCCCGTTGAGGTCCGTGTAGAAGACGTCGCCGTTCTTGATGCCGGTGGAGAACCTAATTCCGAGCTCGAGGTCATCGGCCTGAGGGTCGATGAGGAACGTGTTGCTGATCTCCACTTCGGTCTGCGGCAGCGACGGGTTGTTGTACACGGTTATCTGTGGACAACACGAGAGCTTAGCAGTTGGGACAGAAAAAATGGCAATGACGCAAGTTTTACGTCAATTTATCTTTACATTTTAAACAAGAACTTAATTTATAAATTCCTTTCCATCGCATCGCTAGGGAAATACGCAAACGGTACTCGAGGATATATCTCTTATATTTATCATGTAGAAGATAGAGTATCGTTTATCCGATTTTCATTATAGATAATTTATAATTTTAGCATGTTTAAATTTAGTAATAAATATAATTAACAACATTGTGTGGAAGTGGTTTGTTAGTGTTGGGGTAACCTTCGACCTTCGATAGACAGCGGAGCTGGTCTGGATTTTCGTCTAGGTCTCGAATAGTCTTGTGGATAAAAGAGCACTCACCTTCAACCGTCCTTGACGAGTCGCCTTCGTTCCTTGCACAGCCGGCCGAATCAGCACTGCTTTATTGCCGGGACCAACGCAATTAACTTTCTAGCTCAAGGAATCAAATGACCGGACAATAATTAGTGAAATCGAAACTAGTTGCAAGAGATGTTGCGCCGCCGCCGTTCAACCGATGAATAGGGCGAATGACGTGTAGCGAACGGGAATATTCGTTCGCTCTTCTTGCTCAATTCGAGTCTCCGAATGAGGCATTTGTCCACAAGACCACAAAACCAGCCGAAACAGTTAGTAAGTCCCAACAACCACTGCGGGGGTTCTATAACTTGAGGTTCTAAGACGGGTGTTTGCAGACTGACCGCCAGTACGATTTCGGCGGCCTTCGGGCTGACGAGGCCGGTGTACACCGTCGCCTTGTAGGGACCCTCGGTGACCACCATCTCGGGGAACTGCTCCGGATTGAGCACCTCGGCTGGACCCGACGGGATGAAGAGGTAGCCGCCGCTGTTGTTGTCCACCGCCCTCTGGCTGTCGTACCTGATTTGTTTTTAACGTGAGAAGGTGGTAAACGAGCAGTGGACGTTTGCCACGCCCGTGGGGTTGCGCATGCGTGCCATCTTTTAATAAAGTGGGCTCCGATTACCACGCTCCGTCTTCTGTGTGGTCGTGGTACTTCCCTACTCGAGCAACAGCGAAGACTGTTGCGTGGCCCTACGACAGTAAAAACCCGACGAATAATTCACTCATCAACGCTACCGTATGGACCTCGTCGTCATAAACATCGTACCGATTTAATTTATATCAATTATTTTCCATTTTAGTTAATAACTAGATTGAACCGACTTTAATGTACTTCTCATACGTTTGGTCACAGTTTAAAGAAGTGAATAGTTTCAGTATCACAGTTTAGTGGAAGTAAATATTAACAAGACATTAAATTAGCACTGTCGTGGAGTGAGGAGCGTTTAATTTAGGGCCTCGTTTTATTCGCATGAACATACATGCCTGCAAAAATGACATAATGAATTACACAAATATATATTAGGGTTGCCAACAATACTATGACAGAGTATTGCACTGTATTTCCCGGTCTGCGTATTATATACTGTTGGAAAAGTACATAGAACGAGTAATAGGTACATTTCATTTTGAACAATGCAATAGAATGAATGTAGAACAATGCAATAGGACGTCAAGATTTTCGCGCCGGGTTGGCATCCGCCGCTTAGCTTCGTCGGTAAAGCCTCGAAGACGTTCGAATCGCGCAGCTCCGATGTTGCCAACCCTAACGCAAACCCGCACGCAGGCAATCCTATAAAACAACCACTCCAGTGCTCACCGCACGAAGTCCATGTGGACGGGCACGGTGGCGCCCCCCGGCGAGATGAGCGCCTTCAGCAGGCCGCCGCTGGTGACCAGCGCGCGGCCCCCCTCGCCGGCGTGCACCTTCACGTCCTCGGTCAGCCGCTCGGTGGGCTGCTCCACGGCGAACATCCTCGGCAGGTCGACGGTCCAGTAGTCCGCGTTGTAAATGCGCACGCGCGAGTACGACGTGTACCTGCGGGGGGGGGTTGTATTAATGCGAGAACTATGCGTTGAAGGGGGAGGGGTTGTATTGACGCGAGTGCTATGCGTAGTTCATGCAAACAATTACTACAGAAGTGAGTGTTTTCGGGACTACGGATCGATCTATGCAGCAGATAGACAGTACATTCGTCTGCCCATGACCATGAACCCTGGGTTAAATAATAAAGGGTTCGAAACGTCCGGAATTAAACTTAAAAATAAACGCGATTAATCCGTAAAATTAGTTTCATTTATAAAGTGTATTTGCACAGGTCGTCACTCCATCTAGTGGGGGGTCGTCCTACACTGCGATGGCCAGTACGAGGCTGCCACTCGAGAACCTTTCTTCCCCAACGGTTATCGGTTCTACGAGCTATATGGCCGGCCCATCGCCACTTCAGCTTGCTAATCCTCTGAGCTATATCGGTTATCTTAGTTCTACTGCGGATGTCTTCGTTACGAACTCTATCACGCAGAGAGATACCGAGCATAGCCCGCTCCATAGCTCGCTGAGCGACTTTGAGCTTCCTCATACGGCCAGCAGTGAAGGACCATGTCTCGGTTCCGTTGGTCATCACTGCGGGAAGACGATGGATGCAGGTGTCTCAGGATCGTACTTCATGGCAGTCTATGGGGGAGGTCTATGTTCAGCAGGGGACTCAAACAGGCTGAAATGATGATGATGATGATAAAGTGTAATCGCGTAAATACAAAAAGTTCTTACTTATTTATGCTCATGCTATCCCTGAGCGATACGGTGTAGATAGTGAGCGCCAGCGGGTCCACTGAGATTGGGAACGACAGCTGGAACTTGTTCGCGGCGAAACCCAGCCGCTTCTCGCCTTGTACCACGGGCGAGATCTGCGCCATCATCGGATTGCCTTCCGGATCGAAGACCTGTGCCGTAAGTAATAAGAGCGGCTTTTGAACCGTCACCATTTCGATTTTCAACCGACTTTAAAGAGGAGGTTCTTAATTCGGCTTTATTGACAAAATGGCAACGCATTTGTTACACTTAACATCAGGTGAACTGCCAACTTTCAGAACTGCATCTTGTCACATGAAAGAAAAATTCATCATCACCTCCACATGTGGCGAGGTCACCAGCACGGTGACCACCTCCTGCCGCCTGAACGCTAGCGCGTTGTAGAACACCAGCCGCCTGGACGGCGACATCTCGTCCAGCGCTATGGTGATCCTGGACGGGATCTCGTCGTGGCTGCGCCAGAGGTCGTCGACCTCGAAGTATATGTCCTCCTGGCTCTGCTCCAGTATCGGCGGCTGTTTCAGGAGGTAGTACGCGGCCTGTTGTATCACCGATTGGCTGTACTTGATCGCCGTTAGCATTCTGCAAGCAATATGTTCAACTTATTATTACATATTCGATGCACGTAAGGATGTATCGATGGGTTTGCCTACTCTCGTTTAAAAAATTAGCCGGCATTTGACGCCTGGCAGATGTGAAACATCGAAACTATGTTGTAAAGAGATAACATGAATGAAAGGATATTTTACGAAAGAAACTAAATATGGCATAATCAAAAATAAAATAATCAGATTTTTTTAAAAGAAAAAGATGATTGTTTGTTTAGTAAGCATTCATATTAATTTAGTACAAAATTTAGAAATTCAATATTTTTTCCTGTCGGTAGACAACACTAACCATCATGTGGCCCGCTCGTTTGCCTGCTTTTAAATGAAAAAAAAAAAAAAAAATAGAAACTACGCGCTTTACTACAGTCACAACTTGTCGAACTCACTTCTTGGCGTAGTCCTCGCGGACCTCGTCCCTCGATGTGCCCGTGACCCCGTCGTGGTGCTGGAACAGCGAGAGCGCCCTCCGCGCCTGCTCCACCCTGTCCCTCAGCTGAAGCGACATTATGTAGGTGACCGCCCCGCTGGAGCACGCCTGCGCCGTTATTATCTCTGCCGCCCTGGTGACCGAGCGCACGGTTCGCTTGTAAATTGAGCTTAAATGCACACAGTATTAGTACTCCAACTGACTAGTTCACATACGTTTACGCACATGCGTTTTGTTCTTAAGATCATATTCACGATAAATGAAGTTAATAACGTATGTAAAATTAATAATGGAGTAGAACGACAGACGGTTGATTAAGTAGTTGTTATAAAGCTAGTGACTGTGAATTTTACCTTGTTACTTACACATACAATCTTATATTTAGTAATGAGGTACGTTTAAAGTTTGATTCGGCCATTAATTAATTAATTAACTACAAATTTTTGTCTAACCTAATAATTCATTATTGCCCTCGAGTTTAAGAAAAATTAAACTTCACCAACGCTACGCAACAGTCTCCGGCTATTTCACGAATGGGCAAGTCCGTCCGGGTAAGTACCACGACCTAACAGAAGACCGGCGTGAAGTGGAAGTATATCTGCGTTTCGTTTGGTGAGTGAGGTAGCTTAGATAATTGCAACCCTACGGGTGTTGCAAATATCCATGGGTGGCGGTTGTCATTTACCATCAGGTGAACCGGCAACTCGCTTGCCACCTAAGCCAATCAACTAAGAGCTGACACAACACACCTAACGTAGGCCATGAGCGTTCTATCCATATTCTTGTAAAACGGCCTCGACGTGTAATATCCGCTCCAGTAGTGCTGATTCCTGTCGGCATACGTGAAGAAATCGCCCGACAGCACCGGGAAGTCGGACATCTTCACCTCCTCGTGGACGGCCTTGAAGTAGTCTTGGAGGGTACCGAATTGTACCTGTAACAAGTTTTATAGATTAATTTTCATTAATCCTCCTTATTAAAACATGTAGAAAAAGTACGATAAGATTGTCGCCGCTGTGGGAATCGAACCCACGTCTTCGGCATTCGCGGCCTGACGCTCTAGCCACTGAGCTAAACGCTAAATAGCAATGTAGAAAGAAGGCGTTAGGATTTTCGTCGCTGTGGCTATCAGCCGTTTAGCTTAGTGGCTAGAGCGTCAGACCGCAAATGCCGAAGACGTGGGTTCGATTCCCACAGCGGCGACAATCTTATCGTACTTTTTGTACATGTTTTAATGTTCAATCTTAAGTGCAGAGATTAGCACTATAAAAAACTTTAAAATCCTCCTTATGTTTTATTATTTACCCTCGTTGTCATTCGTTTTAATACATAGTAAGAATCGTCCGAAGTTAAATATCTAGTTGCATTATTTTAAACTCTTTCCTAATTTAAAATCCTTATATACTCCAACAAGTAGCGACCTCCACGGCTTCGCGCGAGTAGAACTAATTACCACCACCCATGGATCCATAATACCCTTGAGGTTGTATTACTTTGTCGAAGTTATACCTTTTTTGGCGCAAAGTTGGTTGCAAAGCGACCAACTTGGACCAACTTTACGGTATTAGGTACCATGACAACCAACAACAACATTTTGACATTTACTTATAATTGCTAAAATATAAGCTTTAAAGTTATTTATTTAAACCGTTATCGATTGCATTTAATGTATTTTTTTACAAACAAAGAGTACTGTCACAGGGGATAAAATTTTTAGTTATTTTTCTTTTGTTACGTTCAAGAAGTATACATTTTTAAATGCGTAGGTCTTGGTACTTATAGCGCGACTGGATGGATCGGCTCATTCGTGCAACAACGAAGACTGCTTGGCCCTACTACGGTGAAAGTGAAAGTTGTACGTGATTCCGCCTACCTCGGTGTTCCAAGCGTCCTTGTTGTTGATGTAGTCGATGATCGCGTCGTAATTCTGGTACTGGTTGTCCCACTCGTTCGAGCGGTCGTAGCGGAAGTCGTCACCCAGCGGGACCATGACGACGTTGCTGCGGTACAGCTGCGCCTTCTTGCGCCATTGGTCGAGTATCAGGAACGACCTGAGACCAGCGCGTGAGTTCGTGTATCGGTCTTCGTTTCGTGCAGAGCATCGGAGGGCAACGGCATAGTGGCCCTCCCCGTAAGTCCCGTGAGTGCGACAGAGAGCGCAACAGGCTGCGTCCTGTTTTCACGTTTTATTAACTCGCCAGCAGCGACATTTGTTTAATATGGTCGTTCGTCTTAATAAGCTCCAGCAAAGTGATTTTAATTAAAAAGCTACATCAAAGTTGGTAGCTCGAAGCTGTCTCAGTCGGACGTATCAACGACTGAACACGTTGCTGTATTTGGTGACAGTGGTGCGTCCCTATATCTCACTGTAAGAACCGTTAGTACGACAGAGAGCGCAACAGGCTGCGTCCAGCTTACATGCTTTGTTATCCCGGCAGCTAGTCTTTGATATTAGTATATTTTCCCGTCTTATTAAGCTCCAGCAAATAGATTGATTTTTTTTTTATATTAAAAGTTGCCAAACGAGCAGACGGTTCACTCGATGGTAAGTGAATACCACCGCCCATGGACATCTGCTACACTCGAGGGTTACAGATGCGTTGGCGTTGACAACTTTTTGAAAATTGGGCTCCGGCCACCTCACTCACCAGACGAAACGCGAAAGTATTTGTCATACTTCCACTTTACGCTGGTCTTCTGTGAGGTCGTGGTACTTACCCGGACGGGCCTGCCCATTCGTGCAACAGCCGAGGCTGCGGCGTGGCTCTACCACCGATAGATTTAATTTTAAAAGTTGTACACATTTATCTGTTTTGTTGCTAGTAATTTAAATTGACAATGGCATCAAAGTTATTATTATTCGCCGCTTACCTTTCAGCAACGTTTTTCTGAATGATTTTCTTCGGCGCAACGCCCCAGGGGCACGTTACGCCGTTCCCGGGTAGCCTTTTGAAGTCGAACTGACAGCAGATCTAGGGAAATACAGCGAAGTTTTAGTTTAGTTTTACTTCTTAAAATGTTTTAGGGGATAACTTTTTTAAATTTTATTAACATTTACTTTCATTAAACATCAATATTCACCGAGTTATTAAATTTTCCAATTTCAGAACACCCTACGTATAAAACTGTAACGTAAAGTTCATTTATAAAGGTCACAAAGCAAATGAATTGGGTGAATGAATTTAAAAGAGATAGAACAAACTGTTAGAAGGAGACATTGAACGCGACGTTGTGGCAACGAATGAAAAAGTCTTTCATTATAAATTCTCTGAATATTCATACGTTGTAGTTTTATAGGTGTTACAAATTTTGTTTCTTTTTTATTTAATTAGTTTGTTTGAAAATTTTTTTTTTAGTATGGATTATTTAACGTTTATATTTTGTTGTGATTATTGGCAGAAGTGTCTTCACGTAATGTCGCGGTTATAACACCATGCTGTATAAATTGACATACGCCTATTTACTTTCTGAGATGCCTCCGAATAGCATCAGGTGAGTTTTTAGTCTTTTACTGGCACTGGCCAATCGAAACATTGTGTTAGAAACAGAACGAATACTGTTTTCAATTAGTATTATCTATAAAAAATTTCCACGATGTTTGTTTATATTACTGAAATTCGCTAACCATGTCTTATAAGACCGATATTAAAATATACCTTATGTTTTCGCTAACTGACACAAATAATCAAACATGAAAAAGAATAACAAATCAAGAAGATGAAGTAAATAATATTTGGGAAGCCATTGCAATCTATATGTGTACATTAATATAATGGTCCATATAAACTAAAATATAGGTACGATAAAATCAATAAGAATAATTTTAAATTCAAAATATATTTATTTATTCGCGACGCGTTTCATTAAATAAAGAAAACAGATTGGGTATAATGCTGTACATGATCCAATGCAATTTTGATTCTCACTAATCGTCATGGATATGTCGCACGTTTGCGAGGTCATAGTGAGTGTCCAAAAAGAGAGTTACAAAAGGAATGGAAATCACCTTGGGATCCGGTCCGCATGAATGTGGCACGTCGTAAGAGTAGAAGGGCATCATGTGAGTGAACATATCGGTTTTGCCGTTGCCGTCTGGAATTAAATTGTTGGGTGAATAAATATGGGCACATTAATTACATAAAAAATGTATATAATTGTAATTATGTGTTGCAAAATTGTGTAAGGTTGATCTTATTATTATTATTTTAACTGTGGTAGGGCCACAGCTTGATAGCCCAGTGTCCGGGGGCTCGCCTTTAGTTTACTCGTGCAACCTGAGTTCGAACCCCGGTGCCAGCACCAAATAAATTTTTTATTTTAAGTGCTGACTTATCTCACCGGGGAAGAAAAATATCGTGAGGAAAACAGAAAAAAAAAAACAAAAAAAATATTTCCAAAATATATGATGTGCACCAATTCGCAGTAGGGTCGCGTGGTGGACTATGACCTGATACCCTCTACAGAGGAGGTCTTTGCTCAGCAGTGGGACATTTATAAGCTGTTACTTACTTTCACTTTTAGGGCCACAGCAGTCTGCTGTTGCAAGCATGGCGTGGTTCGGAGGCGTACCACGACCTCACAGATGACCGTGAACTGGTAGTTTTAAGTGTAAGTTATACTTCTATGTTTCGTCTGGTGAGTGCGGCAAACGGCCTACTTTATTAAAAGGCCTCCATGCATCTGCAACCCTACAATTGTTTCAAAGGCCCATGGGTGGCGGTTATGACTTAACATCAGATGAACCGCCAGATCGCTTGCCGCCTTCTCACATCTGTGAAATAACTTCGAGTAAAGAGTAACTCTTTCATTAGACATAATATCGTGTAAACATGATGAATTTTAATATTATTAAATACTAGATACCCGCGCCGGCTTTGCATAGGTATATATCATATCTAAAAAGAAATTTCTATTTATCTGATCGCTACCAAACTGATCACCCGCTGTGCTAATCCAAAGATTGCCTGAAAATTTCATCTAATTTCATGATTCAATTCCTTTCTTGACACGATATCAAGACAAACTAAAGTGAGTGCTTCCGAAATTCGGTATGCCTTTATTGACATGTTCAAGGTAGGTATGTGAACAACAGCCCTGCAGACTCGCCTTCATAAAACAGAGCTAAGATATTTCCTGCCTGTGGTGCCTATCACGACTGGAAAGGGGACTTGAGGTTAAACGGGTTCATGGCTCAACGGCATGGGGCCTGGTCATTTATTTTAGTGAACCCGACAGGACCAGCAAGACGAAATTGCCAGTACTGTTGCAAAGCAACGAGGTTTTCGAGAAATTCCTTGTAGCGCGCTAATTAAAGCGGAGTACAGAGGGGCAGCGGTATGTTCAGTAGGCGAATCTGGAGCTTCTCCTAATATGTTGGAGTTGCCACTGAGGAGGTTTTACATGGTGGGAACCCCCCATATAACATAGTGGCCCCCCTGTTAGTGCTTACATTTACTTAAAGTCAGTATTCTATGAGGTAAAGCATAAAATACCGAAAAGCGATTACGTGCCAATTATTCTTTCTAAAGCTTACCCCATAACTGTCGCCATTTGAACTCGAGCTGTCGGTTCAACGCCAGCTCCTTCTTCACCCTATAGTGTACTCGCTGTATCACTGAGTTTTCGAAACCAGCCAACTTGAGCAGGTAGGGCTGCGCGCTGGAGTAACCGAAAGGATCTATAGACCAAGCGTTCTTCGGGGTGTAGCCCAGGTTATCGAGAAGCCATTGGTGACCGGTGGTCAGCTGCTGTATGATGGAAACCCAGTGCGAGTTCGCTTCATCATTCATAACCCAGCCCCCGGTTACGATTTCAATTTGACCGGCTTTTAGTAGGCTGAAAGCAGACAACAGAATGTTATAAGAAAAAAAAAACTGTATGATAAAAGTTTAACCTTATCCTCTTTTATATCTTCGACATCTAAGTAATATCATATCTTCGTGTTGAAATATGATGACAATAATATGAAATCTAATCTAATGCTTCCGCCATTGCATAATGGGCAGGCTCGCGCATGGCAGTACCGGTGGTAACCTCCCAAAAGACCAGCGTGGAAGTATTATGTTTTTCCGCATAGTCTTGGATGTGAAGTACTCGGGACTCATTTTTGGAAATTGGCAAAGCATCTGCAATCCCAAAGGTTGCAGATGTCGATGGGCGGTGGTAAACAATCAATATCAAGTGTTCTCCTTTGGCAATCTATGGTGTATAGTTCCTCATAAGTTCGACGGTGGACTCGAACAGGCTGAAGTGATGATAAAAATCTAACTCAAATAATCCATTTTTTATGAGGTGTACATTAAGGAAGATTACTAAAGTAAAAAAAAACAATATATTTTAATATATTTATGCGACAGACCTCCGAAAGAGCGATTTTTCTTTATCCGAGGCATCAAGGCTCCACCATAGTGAAAGAAAACTTATTTCGGCCCAAATAAACTTTCTTCCAACACCTTCTGTTAACTTCTCAACCATGTTGGTAAATATGGCCTTTGTTTGTGATTTATAGTAGTTCTCAAAAGTTTTAATCCAACCTACAAAATGGCCATAGTATATTTAAAATGACAATATAACTAAAATGTAATAAATGCAATGAATAATAGGTAACACTAGCTGAGTAAAGTAAGTAACAGCCAACATGTTTGGGAGCGTCCATTAATAACATGAGGCGTTTAGAAGGGAGGGACGGGGGTCAAGCCGAATCTCATTCAATCTCGAGTGGGTCTTGCAACATCCCACGACATCTCATCAAGATCGCCCCAAGTGAAGACCTGTATAATTTGACTATACAGGAAGATTTTATAGACACCCTATACTATACAGCGTGTCGTTACCATCGCGACAATAAATGAACACACGTCTAACGCTACTTGCCAATAATCATAAAAAAATATTAACGTTAAACAAAACCCATAATTAAAAAAAAAAAAAATTTCATACAAACTAATTAAGTAAAAAAGAAACAAAATTTGTAACATCCTATACAACTCACGCCACAGCGTCGTATTACAAACCTCTCCTTCTAACAGTATGTTTTGTCTCTTTTAAATTCATTCAACCCATTCATATGCTTTGTGACCTTTACAAATGAACTTTACGTTACGCTTTTATAGGTAAGGATGTTCTAAAATTCTTTGTTTTGGAAAATTTAAAAAAAAAAGTAAAAAAGTAACTCTGTAAATATTGATGTTTAAAGAATTTAAATTTTTAATACAACTTTAAAAAGTTATCCCCATATATGTGTGTTTATTTATTGTCGTGATGGTAACGACACGCTGTATATACATTATGGACACCATATTAGAAATTCCTGCCTTACCGTCTCAATACAATAACCTAGCCGCTGATCTCACTGTACCGTTGCTGTTCGCTGTTTGATTTGTTTGTATCGCATCTGTGACAATGTGAGTTCAAAGTCTAAAACTATCTCGTTTTAGTGGCCTTCCTTTAGTTACACTTCATGGGTATACCTACAGACTGCAGACTGTAGGGTGACCACTCATAATAATATAAACAAACAATGTTTGAATTGATATTTTTCTTTTTATTTCTCCTCAAAATAAGATATTAATATTTTTTTGGATTATGGAGTGTTCAATTTACATTATGTCAAAGTATGTACTTCGTCTTAAAAGTCACCCTGTATTATCATCAGCATTTATCTACATGCATTATAGTTTTTCCTAGTATATCTAACATACATGTGGGGCATACTGAAAGTTTCTAAATTTTGCCACTTACAACAAAAAAATTAAAAAACAAGTACGGAATTTGAAGATGGAATTCTCTGGGATCATATAACTTTTCAATTTGAGATTGTCATTTTTGATGTTTTTTGCGACAATTATACGACAAGGTCATCCGGCGACTGTGGTTACAAAATCCAAGCACTACGACCACTGCTCGAAACTGACAAAACATTACTTGTCAGCAAACTCGTGCTGTATTATGTATGGAATGACCAACGATGAAACACGCTGCATGTGCTTCTGATGGTTCAAAAATTCACTGGATGGATATCCATTAACAAAGGCCAGTGACTGCTTTCTGATTTAATGGAGGATCAGATACGTGATGCGGAACAATTACGAAAAAGTTTAACAGAGGCCACGTCACTTGCTGGCAAAAAACAATAAATGTGTAAAACCTGATATATGCTATTATATTAAATAGATAAATATTTAGGTCACATGTCAAACATGTGATCTTAATATTTATTTATTTAATAATAAAATTCCTGTATATATGTTTAAATTTATATATAATTTTTTTCTTGGAAATAGCTTCAACAATTTTCATGAAATTTAGTATTCTGGGAGTTTTGGGGACGTTTCTCACCTGGATCATTATGTGAATGCGGAACTATAAACACTTTAAGCTTGTTCTTTTGGTTCCATTGATCATCCTTGTATTCTATGTCCCAGCCTTGTTTCCATACTCCCCCATCTTTATCATCAAACATTATCCTTTCATACATTGATAGCATCTATACAAATAAAATAAAATATATATAGACATATGGCAATCCCATAGACAATTTTGTTGTGCATGTCATTGTTTTAAAAGTAAATAAATAAAAAAAAATCAGGTGGTAAATGACATTCGAAATGAAACCCTCAATTGTTTACGCGGTCGCATATAGGATAATATGCAACCGTTAAAAACAGTATCGTATATGTTTTTTAACACCCAGCCCTCAGACAGGAGTAGTCCTGGATATTTCTCCACAGACCGCAATGTGCGTACGAAATATCGATGTTCAATTGTGTGCTGCAGTTCAGACTATGACACGCAGAAAACCCAATCCTTAGAGAGTTAAAAATGTTTTAATACCATTTTAAGACTACTTACTCTTGTGAGTATATTTGGCTATGAGAAATTATGTACCTGTATATCAGTTTTAGATGTGAATTGATTGATTGGGCAACTAGAGGAATTCAGTTTTATATGCATCCTTGGAGGCTCATCCCCTACGACTTTAAACTCTCGAATCTTATTCTCTTTTTTCGGCATCTTCGGTCTTTTCTGTTGCACATGTATTTCGTGAGACTGCTCCACAATTTGGTCCACTGCTGTTTTGATTTCACCAACAACTGCATGATGCTGGTCTAGTTCTTTCTCAAGGTGTCTTAACTTAGATTCAAATGATGTCCATTTGTTCTAAAAAAAAAACATTCATATTTACCTCTTATACTACATTACAGAATGTAGAAGTTTATTATGTAACACTTGAGAAACATTTTAAATACCCTTAATAAACACATCATGTACACCCTTAATATACACCGTGACATTAAATGAGCACACTTCTAATGCTACTTGCCAATAAACATAAAATAAATAAACGTTAAAAATTCCATAATTAAAAAACAAACTAATTTAAAAACTAATTGTAATCCTATATATCTATAAGTGACTGATTTATCCATTCAGAGACTTTTGAAAATGTAATGTTACAAATCTTCTTCTAACAGTTTGTTTTATCTCTTTTAAATTGTTTCAACCAATTCATATGCTAACGTTTATAAATGAACTTTATTATTTTTGTGTTCAACATTAAATAAAATCAATTTGCAACAATGCCTAAATGTAGTAGTACTATGCGATGTGGTGTAAGGAATAGTACAAATCAGAAAAATATAACCACCATTCAAATATGACAAAATTCTGTAGTTTTTCAAAATTTGCAATATTTTTTTCTCAAAAACTAAGCGTCTTTGCTTGTTGAAACTTTGCGTGTGTGCTTATAACAATGGAACCTTTCTGTAATAAATATGAACTCCCAACTCGACGGACGTCAATGTAAAACTGAACCTTAATTTATTCATACAAGGTTATTTAGAATGATAACTACAAGTTCTTTTTTTTTTCATGAGAAAAGTTAAGAAGTGAGCTGGCGGTTCTCCTGATGTTAAGTGAATACCGCCGCCCATGGACATCTGCTACACCCGAGGGTTACAGGTGCGTTGAAAATTGTGCTCTGGCTACCTCACTCACCAGATGAAACGCGAAAGTATTATACTTCCACTTGACGCCGGTCTACTGTGAGGTCGTGGTACTTACCCTGACGAGCCTGCCCATTCATGCAACAGGCCGAGGCTGCTGCGTGGCTCTACCACCGTCGATATAAATGAATATATAATGAACGTTATAAATCTGTTTATAAGTAAAAAATTTAATACTCACGTCATCAATATCCAGTCCAACCGGCTTAATACTTGGTAATTTAAAGCTTAAATCCGTGACGATATATAAAATGAAAAAAAATGCAATAATGCATGTAGCCCAGAAAATAGCCGAAAGCTTTCTGATTCTCATTTTAAATTAGAATATATATATTTACACGGTTTTCGATATTTTCATATACGTTTTTGTAAAGAGGTCATTAGTTTCTCACGAATGTTATTCTTGATTAGAATCAGCAGTAGCCGCTGTTTATCTAATTCAACATTTACACATTTAATCCTGTAGTTACCAATACTAACGGAAACATAGTTTTTCTGTGTAACCAGAATTTCAAACTAAAATAAAGTTCACGATGCACTTTATTGAAACTATATTAAAATTAATATATGTATCTACAAACAAAACATTGCACTGTCGCAAAAGTGAAAAATGACATTGACATATGCCAAAAAAATCAAAAAAAAAAATCAATCTGCTCTTGTTTTGACAGAGCGACTGATCGTAGCACGTGTAAAAGCATTTTTTTGTAATTCTCTTACCTATTTTTATTTGCAGTATATTAATTGTATGATTTTTTTTTTTATTGTTTGTGATTAGATCTACATTCAGTTATTAAAATCTGTTTTAAAAACCGTTACAAAATTTTGCAACATGGCGTAGGGATCTTTAAAGAAAATGAATCCTTAAAATATTTAATTTATCCTGTAGTAGGGCCACACAACCGTGTTCACTGTTGCACGAATGGGCAGGTCCCTCCGGGTAATTACCACGACATTTGCAACCCTACGGGTGTTGCAAATGTCCATGAATGGCGGTTATAACTTAATATCAGGTGAACCGTCAGCTCGTTTGCCACTGACTCACATAAAAAAAAAGAATCAGGTTCAATGACCGACAGTGCACTTTAGTGGTATTTATTCTCAAACATACGACAGGTACAGCGCTGATGAATGTGAGTTCTCCGATTCGCATCCGATTTCAATGGCCTGTTTAATTTATGTCCACGTTGATTATTTAATTACATTAAACAACCCTTGTCTCTTCGTCCTGATTATGCATGTACTGACATTGAATTTACAAAGGAGTCTCCGTGATATATACTGATTGCTGGCGATTTTGTTATTTTTGCAGAATGTTCATCCGGGGTCCAGAGTACACTAAAAATGGCGGGCAAGCTTCGGAAGTTTTTCTCTAAAGGTTAGCAGAATACCTATTTTTCGATTTCAGTGGCACATCCAGTTTTTCCCTGCCTTAACTGGTGTGCTTTGATACAAAACGATAGCGGCATTGACCGAGACTTTAGAAATAGGCTATATGCAGGTGGGATTAATTGGCTACTAGTCTCAAGAGTTAAGTATGACGAGCGACAGCTTTGAAACTCAAAGAGTAGATTTATAAGATGGTAGTGAAACTTTTTATGAAATATAGGGCAGCATAAAAGACGAATAAGAGAAAAATGCATGGGACAGAGATGCTGAATGTTGAAATCGATGCTTGGTATGACTAGAAAGGATGAGATCCAGAATTAGTTAATATACTCACTTTGGGCCTAATGGCAAAGCTTGAAAGTGCTACTATTGACAGAGAAAATAAGGAATGTTTTGACTTTTTATGGGTATGATATATGAAGGGATAAAGTCATGTGACTAGAAGAGACAGAGCAATATATGAATGGACTGCGTGAGGAATTATTGTCTGTGAAAGGGATGAGTATTGAGATGAGTATTTGTTTTTGTGTTTGAGATAGTGCCATGCAGCAGTATTTGCTGTTGCATGGCACCATGGCCTCATCTGATGATTTTGGTAATAGGGGCCCACTTTTAAAAAAGATTGTAACCCCTTACCACACGGGGGCTGAAGATATCCATGGTTAGCGGTTGATGACTATATAAAATGTTATTAATAGAATGATGACACACAATACGACATAAGACTATCACGGAAATAAAAATAATATGTTGGAATAATCATTTAATTAAAATAATCCGTAATTTACGTAACTTTGACAAGTATCCGAAAAAATGCCGTATTGATTTTAAATATATACTATTTTATGTCAAATTTAAACGTCAATTTGTTTGTGTGTGAAAATGGCGTCTAAGGAATCGCTGGATGTAAGTATTTAGATTTTAATCAATTACATGAAAATAACATGAAAGTCCACATATAGGTAAACAGTTTATTAAAACCTAACATACACTGTAAATCTATCGAAGCTTAATTGTATAATACAAGGCATTATAATGTCAAAGACCACGCCCTCGAAGAACGTATTTGAAATTTATTAATTTTAATGTTAATACTAATGATACTTCATATTAATGTATGTTATTTTGTAAGTCATCATCTGTATTCTCAGTTAGCAGACTGTTTTTTTATGCTATTATAACTTTTAATTTAGAAAATGTTGCCGCAAAAGCTTACGATATTTTGAAATTAAACAGCACTTATTGGAATGATTTTGTTAATTTTGGTATTGTTATAACTTTCTGGCATTTATTTACAACTATCCTCGCATATTTATATATCTTGTATTATTCTAATTGTAATTTGATATATCAACTCTTTTTGAAAAGGAAAATTTCAATCAATGAGATTTTGTACTTTCCTACCAATTTATAATGTTACATGATTTTAAAAATTTCATGTGGTTAGGTTTTGAATCGAGTCGCCTGAATTTAAGTACACTGTAAGTTTGGGGGGGTTAAGGAGGTTCGTACCAAGCACTCTAATACATTATTTTCTGCTGGAGATGTGTAAAATATTTAATTAGCTTTTTTCTAAAATTTCTTAAAAATCTTAGGAAACGTGAAATGGAATGTTATTTTGATAAATTTCAGTGTTTTCGAAGATACAAATAATAAATTAAATGCAAACTATAGAGAAAAATCAGTAATGCATTAATCAACAAGCAGAATTCTCCGGTTGCATTTAGTTTATGTGAAAAACATTTATTAAAATCTTGTTATTTTCACTAAGAACATATGCACATTTTATTAATTTGACTTCAAAAACTCAATACACAGTACTGCCAACATGAAAAATATACATTTTTCGATTAATTTTTTTTTATTTAATGAGTCACAGATCCGACACAGAGCAATCCCACTCGGATAGATAAGGTTAGAAGGTTCTTTAACCTTCGTGTTTTTTTATAACCACCCATTAGCATTTCTGTTGTTAAGGACAAAAGGCGGGAGGGGAACCCTCCCCATGTCATTCTTATTAGATTCTTTAAAATAAATAAAATTAAAAATTGTATAATAAAAAACTAAGCATCTTCTGCGGGGGGGAGGGGGAGGGGGAAATGGGGGGTGACTCGTCACATCCATCCCCCTCCCTCGGAACGCCTACGAAGGCGACTCTTTTCAAAATTTTACCCATTTCATGACCAAGCCAAAAGGCTTCTCCAGAATTAAATAATAATTAATTTGATATCTTGAAACATGATTTTGGTTTCAGTTCAGTTAGTTTGTTTTTGAAATTGTTATTTAAATAATAAAAGAAATATGAATATTTAAATCTTGGGTGCAGGCATACTACAACATTATGGTGCTTGCTTGTAACCTAAAATTAAAATAGTTTAACTATGAGAATTTAGAAAGAAGTAGCATAATTATTATATAGCTATTAAAGCCTGCATATGGAATAAATATAGATGTCTAATAAACCATAGGCTTAATACTAAACAGCACATTTAAAATAAACTAGGTATTAAAATGTTAGGAGGTATTGTAATTATGATAATCATCATAGGGGGAATTATTATTAAAATGAAATATTGAAGTGGAATTATAAATCCAAATGTTGAACTGACATTATTTCAAAAGTCACCCTAAATGGGGACTACAAAGGGTGAATTTTTACGCAGTCTATGTGCCATATGTGTCACTGATGATGACTTTAACAATCATGAGATTTGACATATGTTGCGGCGGTGCAGCCTTGCGCGGTGTTTAGCGCTCTTCGATAACGTACCCGGGCGCCAATTGAATGCATCCGCATTTGTGTCAAAGGACACAGCACGCGATCCAAGACGCGCTGATCTAAGCTCAAGGTTGCCTGTTGGAAAAGTACTACTGCAGGGGTCGGCTGGGAGATTCGTTTTAAATTTAGAATGGCTTTAACCTTTATAGCTTTAGATAATTGTTGTTATTTGTGTCCATTACAGATTGTTATAATATTTATTATTATTTATTTACTGGTTAAAAAGTATATTCTTTGTATACTTTTTACCAGTGTTTTTAACAATCTAAAGTGTTGTCATAAACAGATAAACATAGGAAAGATACAATTTTAAATGATATGTTAATTAATAAGATAAAATGGTTGATACAAGGTCTGTTTCAAAATGTGGAGTTGACTATATCTTTGATGTGGTCGCCTCATTAATAAAAGCTTAATCGGTACAATAAGGTTGCGTAAATTTCTAAGGTAAAGCGTACTTTGTAAAGTTGTAACATATACAGATATATGAAGATACGACAACATCACTAATTGTAATGGTGGCTACACTACGAAGATAGACGAAAATATCAAAGGAGGACTACAACGCACAAATGGAATTTTGCAACGCAAATTTTGTTGTACAAATTATATTCGGATGTTAAACAATTATATCGCTTATGTGCAGAGATGCATTATTGCTTGCGTAGCAAAGGGCACCACATTCGATCACCGCCGTAACGAGTTGCGGCCCGTACGATGCGCAAACGTTGCGTAATCATTCGAATAATGGCGAAGCTGGTACTCCTGTTCGTCTGAAAGCTATAATGTTACACTATAATGGATAGGCGACCTCACTCGCCCATCCCTACATTCAACATAACGCATTGGCCATTCAGTAAAGAGCATTCAATGGAACTGCCAACCGTGAGTTCAATCTGTCGTCTGGCACGGCGTCCTAGTATTTTTTGCACACGCCAGTTGCTGCGAAAAGAAAAATTGTAATTAACGAAAGGCAGAGAAAACTTAAGGTGTGCTTTATGAACAACTTTTATCGTTCTATCATTTAAACTGTTATCGGACACTTGGTAACTAACGGATGAAAAATTATGCTTGATATATTTTTAAATGCGTTCATTTTAATAATATTGTTTATAATATGCCTTTTTAGAATGTAATGAAATCGT